TACTGATATTTTTGAGTTACTCTTGTATCCTGTTGCATTACTGAAGGTGTTTATCAATTGTAGGAGTTCTGGTAGAATTTTTGGTGTTACATATGTAAACTGTCATATCATCAGCAAATAGCGAGAGTTTGACTTTCCCAGTTTGTATCCTCTTGTTCTCCTTTTGTCTTATTACTCTAATTAGAACTTTGAATACTATGTAGAATAGATATGGAGAGAGTGGAAAGCCTTGTCTTGTTCCTGATTTCAGTGGGATTGCTTTGAGTTTCTCTCCATTTAGTTTTTATATTGACTGTTGGGTTACTGTATATTACCTTTATTATGTTCAGGTATGTTCCTTGTATCCCTATTCTCTCCAAGACCTTTATCTTGAACGGGTGTCCAATTTTATTCAAGGCTTTTCAGCATCTGCTGAGATGATCATGTGGGTTTTTTTTTCTTTCAGTTTGTTTATATGGTGGATTACATTGATGGATTTTCGTATGTTGAATTAGCCCTGCATCTTTGGGATGATTTTTGTTTGTTTGTTTGTTTTGTTTGTTTTGTTTTTACGAGACAAGGTTTCTCTGTGTTGTTTTGGAGACTGTCGGTCCAGCCCAGCCTCGAACTCACACTTTGGGATAAATCTTAACTTGGTTGTGGTGGGTGGATTTTCTCAGCATCTGTTTTTATGTCCCCCTTTTTGTTGCTGATTTTGTTAATTTAGATATTCTGTCTCTGATTTTGGTTACTTGGATAAAGGTTTGTCTATTTTGTTGAATTTCTTAAAGAACCAAGTCTTTGTCTGATTGATTCTTTGCATTGTTTTCTTTGTTTCTATTTTATTGATTTCAGCCTTCAATTTGACTATTTCTTGCTGTTGACTCCTTCTGGATGAGTTTGCTTCTTTTTGTTCTAGTGCTTTCAGTTCTGTTAATTCACTAGTGTGGGATTTTTTTCCCCCCAGCTTCTTTATGTGTGCATTTAGTGCTATGAACTTTCCTTTTAGCACTGCTTTCATTGTGTCCCGTATGTTTGGGTATGTTGTGAGGTCATTTTCATTAAATTTTAGGAAGTATTTAATTTCTTTCCGTAATTCTTGGCCCATTGGTGGTTCAGTTGATCATTGTTCAATTTCCATGTGTTCATGGGTTTTCTGAAATAAATGTTACTGTTTAATTCTAACTTTAAGTTGTGGTCATCCAATAGGGTACAGGTGTTTATTCTAATTTCTTTGTATCTGTTGAGGTTTGCTTTGTTAACAAGTATGTGGTCCATTTTTGAGAAGGTTCCATGAGGTGCTGAAAAGAAAGTATATTCTTGGGGCTGGAGAGATGGCTTAGACTGCTCTTCCAAAGGTCCTGAGTTCAGTTCCCAGCAACCACATGGTGGCTCACAACCATCTATAATGAGACCTGGTGCCCTCTTCTGGCCTGCAGACGTAACACGCAGGCAGAATACTGTATGCAGAATAAATAAATCTTTTTTTAAAAAGTATATTCTTTTGTGTTTGGGTAGACTGTTCTATAGATGTTAAGTCCATTTGAGTCATAACATCTGTTAGTTCCTGTATTTCTCTGCAAAGCTCTGTCTAGCAGACCTATCCAGTGGTGAGAGAGTGGGGTGTTGACATCTCCCACTGTTAGTGTGTGAGGCTTGATTGATTTGTGGTTTAAGCTTTAGTAATGTTTACTTCACAAATGCAGGAGCCCTTGTGTTTGGGGCATAGATGTTTAGAATTGAGATTTCCTTTTGATGGATTTTTGCTGTAATTAATATGAAATGCCCTTCTTTATCTTTTTTGATTGATTTTAGTTGGAGTCTATTTTGTTAGATATTCAGATAGCTACACCAGCTTGTTTCTTAGGTCCATTTGATTGGAAAATCTTTCCTCAACCCCTGTACTCTGAAGTAATGTCTGTCTGTGAGGTTGGGGTGTGTTTCTTGTATGCAGCAGCAGGATGAGTTCTGTTTCGTATCCATCTATTAGGTGAATTGAGACCATTTATATTAATGGATATTAATTACCAGAGATTGCTAGTTCCTGTTATTTTTGTTTTTTATTGTTGGTGATGGCATTGTATGTTCTGTTCCCTTCTTTGGGATTTGCTGTTGTAAGCTCATCTATTTCCTGTGTTCTTGTGGATTAAGGTGATTCCCTTGTTGGCTTTTTTCCTTCTAGTACTTTGTGCAGGCCTGGGTTTGTGGATAGGCCTAACGTTATGTTACCTGGCATTTCTCTTTTGTAGTTCTTAATAGTCCTTCTTTATTCTGTATGTCTATTGTTTTGATTATTATGTGACAAGGGACTTTTTTTGGGGAAGGGGGTCCAGTCTACTTGGTGTTCTGTAAGCCTTTTATTTTCATAAGTGTGTCCTTCTTTAAGTTGGGAAAGTTTTCTTCTATGATTTTGTTGAATGTATTTCTGTGCCTTTGAGTTAGACTTCTTCTATCCCTAATTATTCTTAGGTTCGGTCTTTTCATGGTGTCCCAGATTTCCTGCATGTTTTGTGTTAAGGATTTGTTGGATTTAAATTTTTCTTGGATGAATCTATTTCCTCTATTTTATCTTCAACACCTGAAATTCTCTCTTCCATCTTTTGTATTTTTCTGTTTATTGTTTATATTTGTGGTTCCTGATCATTTACCCAGATTTTTCATTTTCAGGATTCCCTCGGTTTGTATTTTCTTTATTGTCTCTATTTCAGATTTCAAGTCTTGAATTGTTTCCTTCACTTGTTTGCTTTTTACTGGTTTTCTTTAAGGGATTTGTTTATCTTCCAATTTTTTTTTGTTTGTGTTTTCCTTCATTTCTTTAAGGGAGATTTTCATTTCCTCTTTATGGGTCTCAATCATCCTCATAAAGTTAATTTTTAGGTCATTTTCTTATGCTTCACCTGTGTTGGGATGTTCAGGTCTTGCTATTGTAGGACTAGTTTCTAGACGTGTCATATTGCTCTTTATACTGATTATGTTCTTACCTTGTTGTCTATGAAGCTTGTGCTTCAGGAGTCTCTCTCCAGTTGGTATAGTTGGGGGCTGTGCCTCCAGTGAACTCTCCTCCTGGTGGAAGTGGGCCCAAGGCTCAAGTGGTCGCTCCTTTAGGTGCTGGTACGTCTACAGCACTGGTGTGCACCCCTCCCCCTCCAAGTGTAGGTGGGGTGAGGGTTCCAGTGGTTGATGTAGCAGCAGATTATTTCCAACTGAGAAATGGCAGTGGATACAGATGCTTTTTTCCAGAGGAACTTCTTGTGATAGTTTTTGGAAGCTATTGCTGGAAACGGCTGCTGTTGTTTCACTCGGCAGACACTCCTTGCTCTTGAGCCTGAGGTTTGGCCTACCTCTGATGCTATTTCCTGGCTGGTCTTCTGGCCTTCCACTGAAGCTGCTCCAGGCCTGGGGTTTGGCAGAGGGAGGCCTGAGCCTCTGGTCTGTAGCAACTCCAGTGGGAGGCCCGAGCTTCAGACCACACAGGCTTCTTATGAATTGTGAATGTTTGACCTTAGATGAAACCTGTCCTCTTACAACTTAAATTAACTCATTTCTATTCATCTAAATTCTGCCACATGGCTCTTTACCTCTCCTACATTCTGTACATTCGACTTCCTATGTGTCCTGCTGGCAAATTCACCCCTCTTCTTCCCAGAATTCCTCTTTCTGTAGAAGCTATTTTTCTCCTGCTTAGCTATTGGCCATTCAGCTCTTCATTAAACCAATCAGAAGGTGCCTTAGACAGACAAGGTAAATCATTGAGACATGTTTATACAGCTTGCTCACTTATCTTGCATCAGTGACCTTAATTTTCACCTAGGCAGTCTCACTTGTTTGTTTTTGCCCAGCCCCTTACTCCTGGTTCACAAATCTTGACTGACAACTCCTTCAGTTTCTCTAAATGGTCACTGTGTGGTCTTTAGTATTTTTTGTGAAGTACCTGTTTTTAAAGCTTAGATTACCCAGTTACAGTGGTGTACACCTGTACTCCATAAATAGAAAGCAGTGGCTAGAGAGCCACATAAGACCAGGAGCTAAGACCAGGCCAGACGATATATGAGATGTATAAAAAGAAGGACAGGCCAGTGATGGCCAAGTTCCAGGTCCCACTCCAACTCCCAGAACCAACTCCCACAAGGTGTTCTCTGATCTTCACATATATGCCATAGCATATACACAAGAAACACCCCCAGACACACATGTGCCACATAAAATCACTCAGTGTTTGGGTTTTTGTCTTGTTTCTTTGTTTTGTTGTTGTTGTGTTTTATTTGTTTTCTTTTATTCTGCCGCCCCCCCCCCGTCTCTTTACATAAGCCCTGGCTGTCCTGGAACTCACAGACGCGACAGAGATCTGTCTGCCTCTGCATCCCAAGATCTGGGATTAAAGGCGTGCACCACCACCACCGGGCTATAAACTAATTTTTTTAAAGAAAGAAAATTAGTATATAGTAAGATTACACATTAGAGTAACTTGGTATTAAGATGCTTATCTATACCTTTGCATCTTACTCTGAAATATCAGTAAATGCATTTGTGTAGAATGTTTTTTGAGAGGCTGTTTTGTTTGTGTGTGTACTCTTAAGTCACACCCTCAATTTTAAAGCCATGTATTTATAAGAACTCTGTAAAACGTAATAGTATGAGCAAAGGATGAGACAGTTGCCTCTACTTTGCATTTTATACCATTGACCAGAATTTCCCATATATAGTTAAAATAAGATAACCAGTTATGTGAACCAGCACACACACACGGTTTCTCTGTGTAAAAACTCTGTCTCTCCTGGAACTTGCTTTGTAAACCAGGCTGGCCTCAAACTCTCAGAATTCTCTGTTTGTCTCTGCCTCCCAAGTACTGGGATTAAATGTGTGCACTACCACTGCCTGGTGAAAAATTCTTTTGATTCAGTTTTTCTTCTTTGTTATTTAATGAAGCGATAGTCTAATACATAATTTTTCAGGGTCAATGTATCACTGCCCACCTTCTGTTTTATATTAATATATTTATGTGCTTGGGGCCATTTGATTAGGCCTCAGACATTCCACAGCTACCTGGAAGACATCATTAACTACCGTTGGGAACTTGAAGAAGGAAAACCCAACCCTCTAAGAGAAGCCAGTTTCCAAGACCTTCCTCTCCGCACGCGGGTAGAGATCCTGCATCGCCTCTGTGATTACCGGCTAGATGCAGATGATGTCTTTGATCTTCTCAAGGTACTTCTCTAGCAAGCTCCTTTTCTAGAGCAGTAAAAAGCCAGCGTTTTGAATGTGAAATCAGAAAGTAATGAGTTTAGCTTGTTCATAGCAGTCTCTTAATGATTGGCATGTATAACCATGCCCATGTGGCAAAAAGAATGCAAACCATGCAGGTGTATGGCTTTTACATTTGTTTCTTCTCATTTCCTGAGCCCTAGCTCATACAGGAGAACCTACTTATAATCCTGCTTTCACACAAAAAACAGCAGTGAATTTGCCATTAAATTTTTTTTTCTGTAATTAACAGTTGAAAACTCCAGAGACTTGAAACTATACATAACACACACACACTTTTCCAGACAGAGTTTCTCTGTGTAACAGCTCTGGCTGTTGGCCTAGAACTCCCAGAGATCCACCTGCTTCTGCTTCCTGAGTGCTGGGATTAAAGACATGTGTCACCACCCCCTGGCTTTGAAACTTTATTTTTTATAGACATTCCAATTTAAAAAACAAAAATACACTCAAGAAAGATGTGGAAAATTCTTCTTCTTACTCTCTATTGCTGTTACCTGTTTAGAAATATGTTGTTGTTAGGTAACAGCAATACATTTGTGGAATAAATATACATATACATTTATGGAAAGGAGTTGGGTTAATTCTTACAAAAATAGGGATGTCAATTTCTTTCTCACTGATTTTGGTTTTTTTTTGAAACAGGGTTTCTCTATGTAGACTGGGCTGGCCTCTCTGCCTCCTGGGTGTTGAGATTAAAGATGTGTGCCACCAAAAAGCTTGGGAGGTCAATTTCTTTCTTTTTCTGGGGTTGGGGGTGGGGAGGATACAGGGTTTCTCTGTATAGCTTTGGAGCCTGTCCTGGAACGTGTGCTGTAGACTACACTGGCCTCTGCCTACTGAGTGCTGGAACTAAAGGCGTGTGCCACCATGGGAGGTCAATTTCTAATCCTACTCAATCACTTGATTAAATGCAGCAATTCTCAATTGAGCTTTGTGCACAGACATATAACTTAGTACAGTTCCTGCTGAGCACTTACAGTAACTGTGGGAAGGAATTGCTTCACTGGATCACGGCTGGAGTAAGGAAATTGTTATGTTTTGCATGGAAATGGCTCATTGGTTAAAAGTCCTCACTGCTCTTTGAGGACCCAAGTTCAGTTCCCAGCATCCACATTGGACAGCTCACAATTGCCTGTATTCCAGCTTCAGAGAATCCAGTACCCTCCTTGTCCTCTTTGGGTACCTGCACATTCATAGCATACAAGCACACACATACATGTGAGGAAGAAAGTTTCTGTGGGTTATGGAAAGGTATAGTGCAGAAACACGTGAAGCAAAGCCTTCAGAACATCTGATGGGAAGTATGCATAAAAGTATGGTAGGAGCTCATGCCCGTTGAGCCTCTGTAATACCAGCACTTGGGAAACTGAGGCAGGAGGATTGTTGAGAGCACAGAGCAGCTGTTCTACCAAGTGAGGTCTTAGAGTAAAAGAACTGAATTGAGTGTTGCAACTGTACTTAGTGTGACAATTCTTCCTTTCATATGTGCACACATAAAGTAGCAACTCTAAGTGTGAGTGTGAGCCAACCTTAAGAGCCATGGATGGGTAGAGGGAACATCTAAAAATCTCCTTGTCTTGTTTATCAAAGAAGGTACCCTCTTCCCATTCTGTTCTGTCTGTATTTCATCTCTCCTGATACAAGATTATATATAGCATACTGACATTTTAAAATATGAGGTGTGTCTAAGCTTAAATTTTGAATTGTCATTTTAGTTTTCTCCAGTTTTATGTTGTTCCTTATTTTTACAAATCCATTTTCCTGTTCTGCCCAGGGTCTGGATGCAGACAGTCTCCGAGTGGAGCCTCTGGGTGAAGATAATTCAGGTGCACTCTACTGGTACTTCTATGGGACACGAATGTACAAAGAAGACCCAGTACAAGGAAGGTCCAATGGAGAACTCTCCTTGAGCAGGTACTGTCTCTAATGTAAGGGCTGTGATAACTGCTCTATTTAGAATGCTATGAAAAAGACCAGGTGTGGTCTTGCATGCCTTTAATTCCAGCATTTGGAAGGTGGAGGCGGGCAGATCTCTGTGAGTTTTAAGAAGGCCAGGGCTACACAGAGAAACCGTGTGTGTGTGTGTGTGTGTGTGTGTGTGTGTGTGTGTGTGTGTGTGTGTGTGTGTGTGTGTGTGTGTGTGCGCGCGCGCGCGCGCATCTGTCTGTCTGCGTGCAGGGGCAGGTACTATGAAAGTTAATGTATCAGAATTATATAACACTTTTGTTTTTTTCCAATGTAATAACTAGTTGTGTTGGGTTGCCTGCAGCAGGATGATGACAAGACAAGAGTTTCATACTGAAACACAAAGGAATTACTCTATAGCCTTTGGCACAAGACTGTGGTGAAAAATAAAGTGATTCGAACTTGAAGTATTTGTAGTTGACATTTTCTTTGGGCCACCAACCAGATAAAGACACAGAGACTTTTTAATTATGAACACTCAGTCTTAGCTTAGGCTTGTCCCACTAACTCTTTTAACCTCTTTCTATTCTGTTTTGCCTTAGGGCTTTTTCTCTTACTTTCATTCTGTATGCCCTACTTTTCCTGCCTCCTTTGAGTGTGGCTGGCCAGTCGCCTAAAATTCCTTCTCCTGCTTACTCTCCCTGCCTGCAAGCTCCGCCTGTACCTCTCCCCTCGCTTTTGGCCATTCATCTTTTTATTAGACCTGTCAGGTGACTTATATAATGTAAAACAAGCAACACATCTTTACATAGTTAAACAAATGCAATACATCTTTTAATAGTTAAACAAACATTCCACTACAGGTGTACATAAGGCATTCCCAATGAGTACTTGTAGAGTTCCACAGACTGTTGAATATAGCAAGCTTTGAGTACTCCTTTTTTTCTATTAGGATTGATAATCTGCTTTAGGAACTTGAGGATTCACCATCATTAAGTGCTTCCTAAAAAAGTGGAGGCCTCATTTATATGGTGTCTAGAATGATGCTAAGATCTGATTTATTGAGACTTCCTTACTTGCTATATGTGAGCAAGGGGTTAGATGTTACAGTTTAATAAAATGTTGGTTTTCCTTAATTTTACAATTTGATAATCCCTCTGAAAGAAAAATTATGTTGTCTATTCCCCGTTTCTGCTATTTTGTATAATCCATTTTTTGTATCCTATGGCAGAGAATACTGTAATTACTAATACAAATATGTATTAGTTATTAGTACTATGCCAGAACATTTCTATTTAACAATACTGTTTCTTAGGGAAAGTGAAAGACAAAAAAATGTCTCCAATGTTCCTGGAAAAACAGGCAAACGAAGAGGAAGGCCTCCAAAACGGAAAAAAGTACAGGAGGAGATTGTATCAAGGTAAGAAATCTCATTAGTCTGTATTCACAGTTCTCATACTGGAAGGAACCTTAATTTCAGCTTACCTTTTGCTTTATTATTTTTACTTGTGGGTGGACAGGACAGCGGTCATAACTTACGGAGACCTGAATTAGAGTCCACATGAAATTGTCAAGCAACCTTGTCTGCATGACCAACCCTATCTACGTACGTGATCTCCCTGAACCTCTTAGTCTTAGGGTTTTTTCTTGTTGTTGTTGTTGCTTTTTTTGGAGGTTTTTTGGAGGTGTTTTTTTTTTTTTTTTTTTTTTTTTTGGTTTTTCAAGACAGGGTTTCTCTGTGGCTTTGGAGGCTGTCCTGGAACTAGCTCTTGTAGACCAGGCTGGCCTCGAACTCACAGAAATCCTCCTGCCTTTGCCTCCCGAGTGCTGGGATTAAAGTCATGCACCACCACTGCCCCAGCTTAGTCTTAGTTTATTGAATGATGCCCGTTCATTTAGGGGATTAAACTGATCAGGACAGCACATGCCAGTACAAGAAAACAAAGACTGTGCTTGACCCATGATATTTGATAAACATTCATTTTAGTGTAAATTTTAAATTTGTTTTACCACAGGAAAGTGGAACAAATTAATTCACAGTTAATTGTTGTGGGCTCTGGATGTAGTGCAGTGGTAAAATGCAGAAAGGACCTAGGGTTCCTTTCCCTAGCATGGACCACCAAGCATTGACTAGTTAATCTTTTAATAGAATTGTACCATTCTAGGTTTAAGGCCTAATTCTTTAATTGTAGTAATTAAGGTGTCTGAACATGTGCATTCCTACAATAGCTACAAAAAATGTAAAATATTTTTTGAATCTTTAATTTGGCATTCAATTTTAGGAAAGAAAAATACATCCTTTCACGTCTGGGAAATTTAATGCATCATTTACTTTTTTTATATATAGTATTACTTTTGTGGGTGTGTTTATGTGCTAAAGTTTGATATTGGTGTCTTCCTTGGTTATGGCCTACTTTCTTAGCACTGTGGGGTTACAGGCGTACTTCCGTGCCTGACTGTCTTAGGACTTCTATTGCTCCAATGAAACACCACACCCAAAATGCAGGTTGAGAAGAAAAGCTTATTCAACTTTCACATCATAGTCCATTATTGAAGGAAGCCAGGACAGGAACTCAAAAAGGGCAGGAACTAGGAGGTAGACGCTTATGTAGAGCCCCATAGAAGGATGCTGCTTTCTTAATAGAATCCAGGAACACCAGCTCAGGGATGGCACCACCTGGGCTTTCCTCAATTGATCACTAATTGAGACAATGACATATAACTTGGATCCTATGGAGGTGTTTTCTCAATTGAGGTTCCCAAGCTTGTGTCAAGTGGACACTGGCTTTGTTTTTTGTTTTCGTTAAGTAATGTAGGTACTGGTGATCAAACTAGACTTCTTAACATTTCTACTAATACAATAAACAGCCTCATCTTAATTTAGATATATTTGTGATTGCAACGGCAATTTCAGTGATCCCCCCAACAACAACAAAGAAATAGTCCTAGGCTGAGGCAGGAGAATCTTAGGTTCCAAGCTAGTTTGTACTACATAGCAAGGTTGTGGTAAAGAGGATGGTAATGGAAAGGATTCTTAAGAAAGCACATAGGTGAGGGGCCTGGAGAGATGGCTCAGAGGTTAAGAGCACTGACTGCTCTTTCAGAGGTCCTTCCTGAGTTTAATTTCCAGCAACCACTGGTGGCTCACAGAGATCTGTCTGCCTCTGCATCCCAAGTGCTGAGATCTGGTGCCCTCTTCTGGCCTGAAGTTCACATTCCCTTCATGTCCTCCCTACTGTATCTATGTAACAGAGTTCTGACAGTATAATTTCTCTCTTCATTGGTGCTGATGCCATAACCTTGATGCTTGGGTTTCAGTCCTTCCATTTCCTGCATCAAGCCTTCCAAACACTCTGCTTTTATTTCTCACTAGAATTATTCTTCCTAACTTTGAATTTTGAAAGCTCACCCCATCCCCAGCCACCATTGTGTTAACCGGGTTCATATCTGCAAGAAAGACCAAACAAATTGAGCATGCCATTATCCTGTTTTAATTGTTTTCTTTTTTTCTTGTGTTTCAGTGAAAAGCAGGAAGAAAACTCATTGGTGTCTGATCTGCAGACAAGAAATGGTAATAATGGTCTTTGTTGCTGTCTATCAATCTAACACAATCCATACATATATTACAGTGGTAACACTTCTCCAGTCATTCAGTAGTTAGGATGATTCCTTTTTGCTCTGTTTCATTCTTTCCCCATCCTCCATCTCATAGACACTTTAGATCAGAACTAGTTCTGTACTGTTACTGCCACAGTATATTAAAGATTCACTCATTTGAGTAGGCAAGTAGCTTTTTGGAGAGCTGCCTTTTAATTATTATCAGTGACAGACAGACATTTTGTTATTTTATAAATCTACTATAATTTTTGGTTTTTTGAGACAGGGTTTCTCAGTGTATAGCCCTGGCTGTCCTGGAACTAGCCCTGTAGAACAGGCTGGCCTGGAACTCACAAAGTTCCTCCTACCTCTGCCTCCTGAGTGCTGGGATTAAAGGAACATGCCATGCCTGGATTTAGGTTAAATTTATTCTGTAATCCAGATAATTAAATTTGGAAAGCTGGGTGTTGGTGGCGCACGCCTTTAATCCCAGCACTCGGGAGGCAGAGGCAGGTGGATCTCTGTGAGTTCGAGGCCAGCCTGGTCTACAGAGCAAGTTCCAGGACAGCCTCCAAAGCCACAGAGAAACCTTGTCTCGAAAAAACCAAAAAAAAAAATTTAAATTAAATTTGGAGAGAAATAATCAATTTACAATGTCATAGATGAGATAAGGACTACATCCTCAGTTTCAAAGCCATTTTTCTAGAAAAATATTACATTTTTAATATTTTTAAGCATTTCTAGAATGTTAAATTTTTTCTTTCAACAATAGTTATAGTTTTGTTTTTGCAGGTGTTTTTCTAGTTACAGTAATTGGAAAATCAAAAGTATGCAGATCTCTGGTTTAAGCTAGTCTAGTCTATGATGAGACTCTTTCCTTTAAAGAAAAAGAAGTATAAATTATCATGCAGACATTGTGTAAAGTGCCTGTAATCTCAGTGGTTGGGGACTGAGGCAGGAGGATCACTTGATCTCTGGAGTTTGACACTTTCACAGGCAACATAGTGAGATCCCATTCTTTTTTCTTTGTAGGATCCCGAGGGCCAGGCCAAGGTACTTGGTGGCTCCTGTGTCAAACAGAAGAAGAATGGAGACAGGTCACTGAGAGCTTTCGAGAGAGAACATCTGTCCGAGAGCGGCAGCTCTACAAGCTCCTCAGCGAGGACTTCCTGCCTGAAATCTGCAACATGATTGCCCAGAAGGTAGAGCCAGATGTTAATATTTCAGCTCATTCACCTGCTGTCCATGCTCTGCAGGTAGTTTATAATGTTTTCCTTACTTATGGAAGTCCCATATCCAACACCCTCCAAGTGTTAGAATGACCTTTTGCAGAGTGGAACCTCCTTTCATCAACTATCACCAGGAAACATCTGAGTTTGCTCTCCTCTGCTCCCAAACAAAAATGATAATTTTAGCACCTAACTTGTTTCTCCCTCACAGCATCAGCCTTTGATAAACATTTGTCCTGGTAGGTCCGTGACAGTTTCTTAATTGATTCCACCTGAGCTGTTTGTGGTTTCTTTGACTTCAGGGTTAGGTATATGAACTATATACACTTTTATGCATGGCATTTTCAAACATTTTTCTGTCCCTTTTTTCTTTCCTCTATGGATGTTGTTCAAAAGCCTCGTTTCAGATTGAAGAGATGGCTCAGGAGTTAAAAGTGTGCATTGCTCAAGTCCAGTTCCCAGCACCCATGTCAGATGACTCAGAGCTCCCTGTAACTATACCTCCCGGGATCCAGCATCTTCTGAACTCATTGGGGGGGGGCTGGCTCTCTTTTCTCTTTCCCCCTCCCTCTCCCTATCCCCCAAAGCCAGGTCTGGTGACCTTAACATTCCTAGTGTTCAAGAGGGTATAATATGCTTTCTTTTTTATAATATACTTTCTTAATACCCCCAGCCTCCATCAGGTTTAATTCCCTCTTATACCTATTGAAGCCCTTCTTCCCAATAAGGCTCCCTCTACTTTCATATCCTTTTTTATGACCCACTGCATTTAAACAACTTATCATTGACTACACCACTGATGAATATGACTCTTCTTCCAGCAACATTAACTGCCTGTGACTCTTCAGGTAGGGACACTCCATTGGAAAAAACTGATCCTTTCCCTCCCCTTTTCAGAATGTATCAGTTGCCAATAGTTTCTTGATTAGGAGTGGGACTTTGCCTTCACTTCTTCTCAGTGCTTAGACTTCATTGATACCTTTGTCTCCTTTCCTGATAAAATTAAACATAGTATCATTCAGTAGTCCCCAACACAGCTTAATACTGGCATGTGAGAGCTACCTCCACCCTCCACACCAATTGAAAATGTTAATAATGCTATTTTGGAAGCTCTTGTCCAGTATAACAGCAACAAATATGGTAAGTCCAAGTACTCTCCTCACTGAGCTGACTCAGCCTCTAACAAACAAGAGTAAAAAGAATGTAAAATGCACCGCTGTGATATATTTGGGGAGAACTATAAATGGGGTTAAAATATATGTTAAATAAGACTTACTGCCAGTTAGATGGCTAGTGTAGTTATCAGAACCCACTGCGGTCCTTTGTAGACAACACATTCCCACTCTTAATATCCTTTGAAGTGATACCTGTTTATAGCCTGTCTGGATGACTCTGATGTAGTTAAAATAGCCAGGTGGTGGTGATGCACACAACTAATCCCAGCACTGGGGAGGTAGGATCTCTGAGTTTGAAGCCAGCCTGGTCTACAGAAGGAGTTCTGTGACAATCAGACATACACAGAGAAACCCTGTCTCAAAAACCAAACAAAAAATTTCTAAAAGTCACTGAAAATAGATCCATTTATAGTACTAGGAAGTTTATTTAAATGATTATTTAAATTTTTAAAATATTATTTAAATATGGTGTTCTATCTACATGTACACCTGCATGCCAGAAGAGGACTTCAGATTCCATTATAGATGTCTCTGAGACACCATATGGTTGCTGGGAAATTGAACTCAGAACCTCTGGAAGAGCTGCCAATGCTCTTAACCATCTCTTCAGCCCTGATCTTCAGATTCTTTTTTGGTTTTTTCGAGACAGGGTTTCTCTGTGTTGTTTCGGAGGCTATCGGTCCAGCCCGGCCTCGAACTCACAGAGATCCGCCTGCCTCTGCCTCCCGAGTGCTGGGATTAAAGGCGTGCGCCCGGCTCTGATCTTCAGATTCTTATTCATTAAGAACTATCTCTTCTTAAGAGAAAAGCTTAACTGTTAGAGCCCACTATTCACATCATTGCCAGTTCCCAGCGTAATAAAAATTTTCCTTCGAAGCAGAAATGAATCTATATAAATACTATGACAAACCTAGTGTACTGGCTTCTATTTGTAATTCCAGCATTGAGAATCTGAGGCAGAAAGACTGCCAAGAGTTTGAAGCCAGCCTGGGCTACATAGTGAGACCTTGTCTCATACGGTATATATTGAATGTAGTGAAGGAGAAACAGTGTACAACTGTCATGTTTTTAACAAGTGAGTCAGTTTGTTGGAGGCACTCTCAAAGCACCTTCATTTTAATAGTTCTTCTAGCAGAAATGATTTTCTCAAAGCTATAGACATACTCATCTATATAGTAGTCTTTGCTGTATTTGTCATCATATTATGTTTTTATGAGCCTCTTTGTATACATTGTATTTCTTTAAAATTCTTTGGCCTTGCCAGGCATCATTGAACATGTCTTTGTTGGGATTATAATTATGTTACATCTCTCCCTTTCTCCAAAAACTCCCATATAACCCTCTCTGTTCTCCAGATTTATGGCCTCTTTCTTTTTAATTTACATTCCTAAATACACCTGCTCAGTCCATACAGTGTAGCGTGTATGAATGCTTTCAGGGCTGAATGTTTGGCCCTGGACAACCAATTGTGTTCTTCCCTGAGGAGGACCATTTTTCCAGCTTTCCCAGTTGCTTATCGTTCTGGTCTTGGGTTGAGGCCTCCTGAACTTTTCCTTATCCACTTTGACATGTCCATTGGTGTTGTCCTTGTTCAGCTCGTGTTTGGGCGGCATATTAGTGAAACTTTATGGCTATAGCTTCTGACTTTACTAGAAGACACGATCTCACAGCAAACTCCCTGATCCTCTGGCTCCTAGAATCTTTCTGCCCCTCCCCCTTACAGTGTTCCCTCAGAAAATGTTTGGTTTTTTTGTATACTGATAATATGTGACACCTTCCTGAAGCATCTAGAGTGGATTAAATTATTGGTTTGTGCCTTTAATCCCAGTACTCAGGGCAGAGGCAGGTGGAGCTCTGTGAGTTTGAGTCCTGCCTGGTATATAAAGTGAGTTATGGGACAGCCAAGGATGTTACATATACATAGAGAAACCCTGTCTCAAAGAATAAATTTGCTCTCTCCGGCAGCACATGTACCAAAATTGAACTTATATAGAGATTAGCATGGCCCCTTGTGCAAGGGAGACAAGAAAATTCGTGAAGTGTTCCATAAAAAAATTGTTACTCAATTTTTGCTTACGGTACGATAGAATTTTATATAAACATAATCAAATTGTAAATGGTGGGTAACCTTGTAATAAAGGATACTATCAGCTGGGCGGTGGTGGGCCACGCCTTTAATCCCAGCACTCGGGAGGCAGAGGCAGGCGGATTTATGAGTTTGAGGCCGGGCTGGATCGACAGCCTCCAAAACAATACAGAGAAACCCTGTCTCATAAAAACCACAAAAAAAGAGAATACTATCATTTATTTTTAATTATATTAAAAAATTATTGGGTTTACATGCTAACCTATGGACATCTATGGAGGCAGAGTTTATAGAATTGTAAATTACTTTTGTCTTGCAGAAATGTTAACTACCAGTATTTATCATTTTCAATGTTGCTGGAGGTTATCCACCTTAATGACTATGCCAGGGGTGTATCCTGACTTTGATTAAAATGAGCCAGTTTCTCTAATGATCCCCTCCCTGTTTTTTTCTTTTTAATTAAATAAAACATTTGACACATGTCACTTTAAAAAACTAAAGAAAAGGGGTGTGGGAGGAGGGGAGGGAGAGGGAACTGGGATTGACATGTGAAGCAAGCTATTTAAAATTAAAGTAATAATAAAAGGGGGGGCAGGGTTGTAGACTACTGAAAGTGTTGGTGGGTGGTGGTTTATAAACATTAGAAACTTAAGATTCAATGTATATACATTGTCTACACAAAATCTGTTAGTAGATGGGTGTGGTGATGTACAAATTTTAATCCTGTACACCTAGCATTTGATAGGTAGAGATAGATTTCTTTATACATTTGAAGTCGACAGCTGGTAGTAATATATGCAGGGAACAATCACCCTCTGTATCAAGTATAGCATATCCCTTTTCATATCTAATATAGCAAAGTTGGGAGTGAAATTGGTGTTGGCTCCTTGAGCTGTTTGCATGGTAAGTTGGCAAGATTTCCTTTGGAAACAGTGCTGTGCTGGGGTTATATCTTAGGTGTAAGAGATAATGCCTACTGGACTTGTGAGCTTTATAGAGGAGATGCTTATAAGCTTGGTGAGGAGGAGACTGCCTAGGGAGTTGTAAAGAAGTACAAAGGGGATAGAGGATCATGACATCTTTGGTGCTAGTGATTGTGTTTCCTCTGGGAATTGTTTATCCCAGCTTAAAAACAGAAAAACTGTATTTGCAGTGCTTAGACAGTCTGAACCAGCCCTTGTTGTTGTTGAGAGATTTGTTTTTGATCCTGTCTTAGTTTACTTATTCTTCAAAGTCTTACGAATTATTGAGCTTTTCTAGGACCAAACACCCCCTCCCCCCATGTAAGCAGAAATGAGTGCTTAGAGCTTACTTTTATGTTTTTATTATATTTTGTGTGTGTGCCACTGTGCACCATGTGTATTTCAAGGATCAGACTCACATAGTCAGGCTTGATAGCAGGTGCCTGGCTGCCTTTTAAAGGATTTCAGGTGCCCCTGGTGCCTCTTTCAGAATCATTCCTTCCTTCAGGTGAATGTGATAAAATACAGTTTTCTCTTTGTCGTTTAAAGAGGAGCTGTTTTGTTTGCTTGTTTGGTTGGTTGGTTTTTGTTTTGGGGTTTGTTGTTTTTTGCTTGTTTTGTTTTGTTATTGTAGTGGAGGTGTTTGGTTGTCTACCCTGAAATGGTCTGAAATTCATAATCTTCCTTTTCCCAAATGCTGAGGTTATAGATGTGCCTATCACATCCAGCTGGAGAAGGAGTTTACTTAAGGTTGTAACTAATCTCTCTTGCCAGTAATGAAGATTTTAATAGGAAATGCTTGGTTGTCAGTGGCTTTTGAATTGCTGCTTATTAAATAGACTGGCTTACTACCTTACCCAGCTGAATAGTTGTTTTCCCTTATCCTCCTAAAATGTGGACGCACCTTTGGCCACCATTAGATAAATTAGTCACTGGTGTGCTTCAGTGGCCATTCTGCTGGTAGCAGCCTCAGCAGCAGCAGCAGCAGCTATAGCATAGCTGAGAACCCCCTAATCTATCTCTTCCTTTCTGTTCCTCACTTGTAACTGTAGGGAAAACGTCCACAGCGCACAAAGCCAGAGTTGCAACATAGGTTTATGTCTGACCACCTGCCCATCAAATCCATCAAGCTAGAGGTGAGTGTGTCTAAAAGTAAAAAAGTATTTGAAAAGGTAGTTCCCATTTCATTTCACATGATTTTATTCCTATTTATTATCCCTTGCTCTTAAAAAACAAACCAAAAAAAACTTAATGTCAAATGTTCACTGAAGATTTTGGATTTTTATTAGTTTTGTTTTGTTTTGTTTTGTTTTTCAAGGCAGGGTTTCTCTGTGGCCTTGGAGGCTGTCCAGGCTGGTCTTGAACTCAGAGATCTGCCTGCCTCTGCCTGTCAAGTGCTGGGATTAAAGGCGTGTGCCACCACCGCCCAGCAGATTTTGGATTTTTAGACAGGGTTTCTTTGTGTAGCCTCTACTGTCCCTGAACTTGCTCTATAGACTTGCTCTTAGAGAACTGCCTCCCTGTCTTCTGAGTGCTGGGATTAAAGTTGTGCACTGCTACTGCCAGGCTTTAAGAAAGAGTCTTAATATGTGTAGTGTTTTTCTGGGAAAAGAAGATAGAAAAATGGAAGATTGGGTGGCATTCTTTTTTATCTTAAATATTCCTGGGTGACAGGCACATACTCAGCCTATCAGATGTGAATAAGTTCTGTGATAAAAGAAGTTCATGAATACAAAGATGTAAAAATTTGAAGCCAGGGAAAGAAAGGGCAGTTTAGGCAGACAGGTGTTTGTTTGACTTTAGTGTGTGGGATGGCTAGAATTCTGATGGTGAGGAGTGGGTGTGGATTTAAAGCCTAGGGTCTTCCTAACAACAAAAGCCGCAAGGCAGAAAATGGAATGGTATGGTCAAAGATATGGGTGTGTGGCTGGCATGTTGTGATAGATAATGGGGAAATGTAAGCAACCATTTTTGGAGTCTCCAGCTCTCATGCTGTGTTCAGCAGGAATGAGAAATGAGGCTGTTGTTAGGTGCAGCTGGTTCAGGAAAGAAGAGCTGCTTGAGAGGCAAGTGCTTGTCTGGGAGCCTAGTTGATGACTTTCCTAAAATGGAGGACAGAAATGGGAACGTGATCCGATTACCTCTTTGCTCCAGGAAGGTAGCAAGATGCCTGCTGCATCTGTCCAAAAAGACTTTTATAGCATGTTGGTGTACTTCGTGTTCTCAGCCCAGCTAGCTAGCATACTCTTTCTCCTTCTGTTTATCTCCTCCTGGCACTGGATTCCATTGCATATGTAGTGAGGTTAGTAGTCACACAAAACATTATTGCCTCAGGTCACAATTGTTTTTGCTCTGTCAAAATGTCTTGTGTTCTTGTGAAGTTGGGGACTTTCTTTTCCTTGCAGTTACATGTTTGTGACTCTTAATGAAAATGTCAACAATGAGACCTTGTACTCTTTGTAAATTTTTATTGACTTTTTTATCCTATTACTGTGGAAAGCAAATTCAGGAGGATCATAAATTCAAGGTCAACCTGGAATTTTGGGTTTTTTTGTTGTTTTGTTTTGTTTTAAATATTGCTTATGCAGGCCAGGCTTGTCCAAGCTCACAGCTTTGGCTTAGACGCCCAAGTGCTAGGAGGTGAACACCACCACAGGTGGCTCCTTCTTTTTCCCTCCCTCCCTTCCTTTACTTCTTTCTTTCCTTTTGGTTTGTGAAACAGGGTTTCTCTGTGTGACAGTCCTGGCCTTCTTGGAACTCACTCTGTAGACCAAGCTGGCATCGAATTCGGATATCCACCTGCCTCTGCCCCAATGCTGGGTGGGACTAAAGGCGTGCACCACCACTGCCCGGCACATGGTTCCTTCTTAACTCGTATATATTTTCTAGTTGACAATTCTGCAGTGATTGACTTGCCGCCACCTCCCTAGTAGCCCTCAGCTTGGAAATGACCTTTTGTTGTTGGTACCCACTTTGGTTCTGAGTAGCTTCCAGCTCATCCTACCTTGGTAGGTTCTCTTTATTACCTTGAACCTCCTTGACAGCTGTTCTTCTTTCTGCTCATGCTTCAGGGCATCTTCCGTGCCCTAATTCATGCCTCAGATTACCTGGCAGTCACTAAAACCTCTTCATGAGTGCAAGCAGAAGTCTAGCTTTTGGCCACTTGGTTTTTTTTTCCTCTTTATAGGGGTGGTTATTAAATTCTGTTGCTTAGTTTGAAGGAAACTACCCTGTGTAGTTTGTGTTGTGAATTGACTTTTGTTTCCAGAGCAGAAAGTCTTTTGTCTTTTGATTCTTTTTTTTCTTTTGTATGCAGGCCCCAACCACCCAGGAGTGCAATACTAATTGCCTCAAAAAGTATTTTAATTGTGGCATCTGGGAAAAAAATCAGTGCAGAGACACTGATAAGCCAGGGAATAGGGCTGCTGCAGTATTTTTGTCAGTAGGCCCTACTGGGTGCCTAGGGAGCAGTTTTGGGATGGTGTGATCTCAAGTGTGCTCCTGGTGGCAAAGATAAGAGTGAATGCCTTGGGGTACAGAGTTTGGGCACTGCTTCATCTAGAGCTTCTAGTTAATAATCCTATGGAGGATTTCACAGTGGCTCCTTGTTAGCATCTCATTAAGATGCCTTCATGATTCTAGTAGGTCTCTTTCTTACCTGTAAGTCATTTAAACACCAACCATTATAGCATTTGCTGTTGACACTTAACTTTTCTCTGGTTTTATGAGAGTCTCACTAGATGGCTCTGGTTGTTCTGAAACTCAAAATACAGCCCAGGCCAGGGTGGACTTGAACATCCAGTGATTTTCCTTTCTCAGCCTCCTGATGGTAATCCACTTACATGCTCCCAGCTGACCTCTTTTACAGGGGAAATATTTACAATGTGAGACAGTCTGAGAGACTGGAGAGATGGTTACATGGCTAAGAGCACTTGCTCTTCTTCGTAGGATCAGAGACTTAGAGAGTGCTCAGCACGCTGCTCTTCCAGAGGACTTGGATTTTAAAGGACCTGGGTTTTGGTTCCCAGCACCCAAGTGTCGGCTCCAGTTTGCTTTCTCTTGAAATGGAAGCATTGCACAGAGATTTGCAGACAAATTTTCAGTGCAGAGCATGGGTCACCTCCCACCCACCACCACCCACACATGGGTTTTTCAGATATGGCTTATGTTAAGTAGTTGTGGAAATTCACATGGGGAAACAAGCCCAGGAAGCAAAGATGGGTTTTTACCTGTCATGGCAATGGAAGTGGTTCCAGATAAAGTGATCCGAGAACAGAGGGAATGAAAAATAGAGGTTGAATGCTGCCCGGCATGGTTGCTGTCCCTGTAATCCTAACAGGGTACTCACTGAAAGTGGTGCTGCCATGCTCTACATAGAGAGTCCCAGGCTAGCTACATTGTGAAATTCTCAAAAATGAAATTTAGAGGGAGAGGTTGTAATCTCAAGACAGAGCCATAGTCAAACAAAGGCAAGCAAGCAAAGGGAGGTGTGGGTTCTTAACCTCAGTTGGCAAAAAGATTTGTAGAACTTCCATGTTTGGGTTTAAAGATGCTATCAATTCAGGTCACTTAGTTGTTAATGCTTAGTATGCTTATCGTGTATATTCATGTACAACCACTGTAACCCGGATAATAAAAGACCTAGAGACAGATATTGGGGGTTCAAGGTGAAGATCAGAAAAGCAAAACAGCCAGTTGACCACTAGCTCTTAACTCTAACTCAGACTGAAAGGCAATCCTGACTTCACCAAACCTCAGACTGAAGTCCCAGACTGCTGTGCTCTCCTCAAGGAGGCTGGTGAATCCTGAGACTGATTGTCTGTCTATCCTCAATGTGGCTGGAGAATGAATGCCAGCTCTGAGACCCTGTTCCTGTCTTATACACCTCCTTAATGCTTGGGTTAAAGGTGTGTGATCCCAGTGCTGGGATGAAAGGCATGAGCTCTGTTACTCTTCACTCTTGCATAGGCCGGGTGACCTTGAACTCAGAGATATCTGTCTACCTCTTAATCCTGAGTCCTGGGATTAAAGGTGTGTACCACCACTGTCTGATCTCTATAGCTTGAGGCTGACTTTGCTTTCTGGATCCTCAGGCGAACTTTAATAAATCATAAATAATACATCACCACACACCACCACCCTAATCCCCTGCCCTGTTACAAAGTCTCACACTCTGTAGGTCAGTTGGTCTGGAACTAAATGTATAGACCAGGCTGGACTCAAATTTACCTGCATCTTCCTGCCTCTCATCTCCCAAATGCTGGAATTAAAGGCATGCAACACACTACCTTTTGATTATAGTAATATATTTTAAAAACAATTTAGTATGCCAGGCATCGTGAGCATTTATAATCTCATCGTTTGGGAAATGGGAAAAGGAGAATTAGGACTTTGTCTGCTAGATCCATTCTTTAGTAACTTACTATTTCTCTCTTTTTTTATTGTGTTTGGGGTTGGGGGGGGCTCATGTGTCACAGCACCCATGGGAGATTGGAGGACAACTTGAGGGAGGGAGTCCGTTTTCTCTTCTTTACCATGTGAGCTTCCTGGATTAAACTCAGGTTGTCAGGCTTGGTGACAAGCACCTTCACTCATTGGCAGGATCTCATGCAGCTCAGATTTGAGGGTGACTTTGAAGTTGTAACTCTATCTCCTGAGTGCAGGGATTGTAGACCTGCACCATCAGGACCAGTTTATGTGATGCTGGAGATTACCTTCATGTACTAAGCAAGCAGCTGTTCATTTTCTTTTAATGAAATAATTCCTTTGAATCGGGCTTTAATTTCCTTCCTTTCCTAGCCATGTTAGTCACTGATATCTTACATACAGTATCGTCTTGAAGCTAAGGTAATGATCAGTCATGTTGTCTGGGTGATGTTACCAGGAATTTTAATTAAGAACCAAGGAAATAGTTTGGCAGTGAAATAAAAACCAAGAAAATAGTCTGGCAGTTTAGGAGTCTGGTGAAATTCAGGAAAGGTGCCTGGCTGTTGGAGTTTGCTTTCTATTGCTAGGATAAACATCATGGCCAAAAGCAACTCAGGGAGGAGACCTTATATTTCTTACAGCCTGTAGTCCATCATAAGGGAAGTCAGTGCAGGAAACTACATAGGAACTGAAGTAGAAGCATGGAAGATGCTGCTTACTGATTTACTTCCAATGGCTCACTCAGCTTGTTCTCTTTCTTTGTTTTTGTTTTTTGAGACATGGTTTCTCTGTCTAGCCCTGACCTTCCTGGAACTTGACTTATAGACCAGACTGGCCTTGAACTCACTTGCCTTTGCCTCCCAAGGAGAAGGGGTCTTTTTGTGACCTGGACTGTTCTCAAACTCATAATCCTCAGTGTATTTTTGTGCACTGACACATATTTCACATATAAAAGAAGTCTATTTGAAGTCTAAATCCTGTAACTACTAGTATCTGATGAATTCAGCAAACTAACTCTTAACTCAGGGAAGAACTACTCTTCTGCTGACCTCTGCGCTTATTGGCTCCTTCCAGGAGACTCCCATGCTCACCAAGATGGAAAAGCAGAAGCGCAAGGAGGAGGAGGAGGAACGGCAGCTGCTACTGGCAGTGCAGAAGAAGGAGCAGGAACAGATGTTGAGAGAGGAGAAAAAGCGGGAATTGGAGGAAAAAGTCAAGGCAGTGGAAGGTATGTAGAGACTCAAGGCAACTGCTTTTATAGGTGGAATGGTATATGCTTAAGAAAGGGTGTGTGGGTGTTGGTCATTCACAGAAGGCCCAGGGGTGGGTGTGGGGGGTGTTCGTTCATTCACAGAAGGCCCAGGGAGCAGCAAGTGCAAACGCTCATTTGAACTATCTTGATGTCTTGGTATAGATCGAGCCAAGAGGAGGAAGCTCAGGGAAGAGCGGGCCTGGCTGCTAGCTCAAGGGAAGGAGCTACCCCCAGAACTTTCCCATTTGGACCCGAGTTCTCCTATGAGGGAAGAAAAGAAGACCAAGGACCTGTGAGTATTTAATAGTAGCAATAGTAGCAGCTGACATGTTAGTGAAAGCACTTGCTGCTAAGCCTGATGGCTTTTGCATTGGATCCCTGGGACCCACATGGTGGAGGGAGAGAACTGACTGTTGCAAATTGTCCCCTGACTCCCACACGTGGACCATGATGGCACACACAAGTGTAATCTTTTTTAAAAGCCTTTCTTGAGATGGCTCACTTCCTAGACTTTCAGAGTCACTGGAGTTTGATTCCCAGCACCCATGGGGGAAGCTCACAAGTGCCTTTAGCTCCAGGGGGTTCGGAAGCCTCTGGCCTCTGAGTGCACCTACACTCATGTAGACACATAGACACCTTTTGTGACTGGTGATGGCACACACCTTTAACCCTACTACTTGGGAAGCAGAGGCAGGCAGATCTCTGGGTTCAAGGATAGCCAAGGCTACACAGAGAAACCTTGTGTCAAAAACAAAGAAAAATTCTTAGTTTTTAAAAAAATACTTCTCATTTATTTCTTGTATGTAGAAAGCAGTGGCTTCATCATTTTAATGTTAAAAAAAAAACAACATAGTGCTGGGTGTGGTGGTGTGCACTTTAATCCAAGCACTCAGGAGACAAAGGCAGGGGGGCCTCTGAATTTGAGGCCAGCCTGGTCTAGAAAGTGTTTCAGAGGACAGCTAGGGCTATTCCCCAGAGAAATCCTATCTTGAAAAATGGAAATGGGGGTTGGATAGAGTTAGTAGGCCTTAAATTCAGACCTGACTGAAGCATTGGCTGACATAAACTGTCTTTTCAATGACATCAGAATCTGCTATTAATGGGGAATTGTTTCTTGGAAGTATGTAGAACATCTTATATTCGTTTGATTGGCAGTGCTGGGGTTTGAACTCCAAAGACTTTAGGCATGCTAGGCAAGTACTGTAGCACTAAGCTGCAGCTCAAATCCATGTTTCAAGACTAGAACTTGCCATCCTCCTGCCTCAGCTTCCTCAATGCTGTGATGTCAAAAGTGCACCGCCATGCTCAGGTAGTTACTTTGGCCAGGTGTAGTGTTACACAGTACCCGGCAGTTGTTGGGATCAAGGTGGGCCAGAATAGAACTGTGGCAGGGGAAATACAAGGTTCAAAAAAGAAAACCCATCAGCTGAGCATGGTGGCACACACCTTTAATCCCGCTTCTTGATAAACAAAAGCAGATGTATCTCAGCCTGGTCTAGATAGGGCATTCCAGGACAGCTAGGGCCTATTTCAAAAAACAAAACAGTTTCTTCCAACCAAGTATGGTAGTACATTTCTGCAACCCCAACTCTGTAGAGCTATGGCAGAATCTGAAATTTGTCAACCTGGACTATATAAAATACCCTGTCTTTATAAAAATTCTGGTTAAGCTCTTTCTGCCGCCATCTTGGTTCTGCATCCTCCGCACAAAATGCTTGGTGAAGCCGCTGAAACCGTCCCTGCTTCCGAGCAGGAGTTGCCACAGCCTCAGGCTAAGACTGGATTGGGAACAGAGTCTGGCAGTGATGAATTGGTACCAGAGCTCGAGGAACAAGACTCCACATAGACAGCCACACAAGTCCAGCTGGCGGTGGCAGCTGAAATGGATGAAGAGCCAGTCAGTAAAGCAAAACAGTCAAGAGTGGAAAGAAGGCTATGTCCAAACTGGGTCTTCGACAGGTTACAGGGGTTACTAGAATCACTATCTGGAAATCCAAAATTACCCTCTTCGTCATCACAAAACCAGATGTCTACAAGAGCCCAGCTTCAGACACCTACATAGTTTTTGGAGAGGCCAAGATTGAAGATTTGTCTCAGCAAGCACAGTTAGCAGCTGCTGAGAAATTCAAAGTTCAAGGTGAAAGCGTTTTAAATATTCAGGAAAACACTCAAGACTCCGACCGTACAAGAGGAGAGCGAGGAGGAAGAGGTTGATGGAACAGGTGTGGAAGTTAAGGATGTAGAGTTGGTCATGTCACAAGCAAATGTGTGGAGCAAAGGCAGTCTGAGCCCTGAAAAACAACAGTAATGATATTGTAAATGCTATTATAGAATTAACTATGTAACTATTTGACAGCAAGGACATTCCCCTTCTCCCACCCCACCCCCTTTTTGGTGTTTCAAAATTGGAACTACAGCTTGGTTTGAAATTTGTACTGTTTCTATCACTAATAAAGTCATGGCTTCTTGTTGGATGGAAAAAAATTCTGGTTAATAGTTAAATCATAATAAAGTTCTAGATCATTTAGGTCAATTCTTTTTTTTATTCTACCTAGCGCATTTTTCTGTGTGTAATTTATTTTTTAGTTTTATTTTATATGCATTGGTGTGAAGGTGTCACATCCTCAGGAACTGGAGTTGCAGACAGTTGTGAGTTGCCGTGTGGGTGCTGGGAATTAAACCCAGCTCCTAAAAGAGCAGCCAGTGCTCTTAACTGCTGAGCCATCTCTCTATCCCCAATTCTTCATTTTATAGATTGGGGAATCTGCAAGTCCTCTTTTTGCTGTGATCACCATTGCCATCCTCATGTTGTTTCCAGTGAGTGCTGTCAGTATTGGACTCACCTAACAGGAGTAAATAACACTTTTGTCAGTCTGTTTGGTGGTCAGAGTTAACTGTTAACTGTCTTGTTTTGTGGTTCACAGCTTTGAGCTGGATGACGATTTCACTGCCATGTATAAAGGTTAGTTACTGTTCTCAACTGTTGTATTTCTTTCTGATGAGCATCTTTTCATGGGAATGTGTCAGTTATGTTCTCTTTTGGCTTCCAGTTCTAGATGTGGTAAAGGCTCACAAGGATTCCTGGCCCTTCTTGGAACCTGTAGATGAATCTTATGCCCCCAACTATTACCAGATTATTAAGGTATCTTTGAAATTGTATTTAAGTATGTGTATCTTGCTTGGGTTTTATATTAGTCATTTTTCTATTATAGTGACCAAGTACCTATTTTGGTTCTACAGTTCAAAGGTTAGAGTCCATGGTAGCACGCAACTCTGTCTGCGGTGCTAGGAGCTTGATCATATCTTGGTGACCAGCCAGAACTTGGGGACTGAAATGGCACAGGGTATAGCTCATAAGACCCCATCCCACAGTGGCCCACTCCCTTTAATTAGGCCAACTCCTAAAGCTTCCACAGCCTCATAAACAGCACTACTAGCTAGGAGACCAGCTATTCAAGACAGGGCACCATGTCTTCTTAGTTGATCTAAGACTGGCCTCAAACTCAGAAGGATTTGCCTACCTCTGCCTCCTGAATGGTGGGATTAAAGGTATGTGTCAATATTCTTAGCTACACCAAGTTTGTGAGAAGTTTAAATGCCAGGATTCCTTTTCCTCCTAGAAACTGATTGGGGATGGTGTGTAGTTTCTTGGTTTTGTTTTGAGACAAGGTTTCACTCTGTTACCAAGACTGGCCTGAAACTCAGTATGTAGCACAGACTATCCTCAATTTGTGTCAATTCTCCCAACTTGTAGTGCTGGGATTAAAGCCACTGTGTCCTTTATAGCATTTTTTAATTAAAGTGTTATATGTCCTATTTTAGATCCCCATGGATATTTCAAGCATGGAGAAGAAATTAAATGGAGGTTTATATTGTACCAAGGAGGAATTTGTAAATGACATGAAGATCATGTTCAAGAATTGTCGAAAATACAATGGGGACAGTAGTGGTAGGTGGTAGGGACCTTCTTGCTGGATGTGTGTTTTCTGCACTGTTATAGTAGAAATTAAATGCTCTCTTCCAAACTTACCTTAGATTTTTCTTTTTCTTTCTTTTTTTTTTTTTTAAGATTTCATTTATTTATTATGTATACAGTGTTATGCTTACAGGCCAGAAGAGGGCACCAAATCTCATTATGCATAGTTGTGAGCCACCATGTGGTTTCTAGAAATTGAACTTAGAACCTCTGGAAGAGCAGCCACTGCTCTTAACCACTGAGCCATCTCTCCAGACCCCAAGATTTATTTATAAGTGGGCATGAGTGTTTAGCGTGCACCACATGTGTGCCTGGTACCCACAGAGATCAGATGAGTTATTGGATCCTCTAAAACTGGAGTTATGAATGGTTGTGATCCACCATATGGATGCTGGGAGTCAAACTCAGGTCCTTTGAAAGAGTAACAAGTGCTTTTAACATCTGAGCCTCCTCTCTACCCCTACCTTGAACTTTTGATTGCCAAATGTTAGAATCTCGTGTGTGCCATCCTGCTGGTTCAATATTTTGCCTTAGGACTACAAATAGAATATATACCAAAAGCCATGAGATTTGATTTCCAATTTTGTAAACAACGCCCAGGAAATCTGGTCCAGCCTTCTGGATAAACAGAGTCTAGCAGTGATCTGGTCTAGGTTGTCCTGGGCCTCTTTGCTACATACAATTTTGTTTGTACAGAAGATGGAGTCTAATGCTTCCTGAATGCTCAGCAAACCCTCTACCACTGAGCAACATCCCTGGTCTTCCTCTCTTAAATCATTTTGAAAGATGGCATCATAACTTTCTAATGATCCTGGAGCTTTTCATGTATCAACACAAAAATACTGTAGTCTAAAATCAAAGCAAATGCAATTGTAATAGTAGTTTTAGTAACTTAGCCTAAAAGAATTGAGTTTTTGCTAGTTTGAGGTAATGTATTAGAGTCACGTTTATGTCACAGACATTCAGCCTTGAGCAGACTACTAACAGCATCTTCATCTTGTGTCCATAGTTTTGCAGTTTAATATTAACTGTCTTTTGTGTCTAGTGAAGTATGTACCTGGAGATCAATCCTCATGTCTTCTTCCTTCTAGAGTATACCAAGATGTCTGATAATTTAGAGCGGTGTTTCCAACGGGCCATGACAAAGCATTTCCCTGGTGAAGATGGAGACACAGATGAAGAATTTTGGATCAGAGAGGATGAAAAACGGGAGAAAAGAAGGAGTAGGGCTGGTCGAAGTAGCGGAAGCCATGTTTGGACCCGCTCTAGAGACTCAGAAGGGCCCAACAGGAAGCAACCACCAGTGGAGAATGGAGGAAAATCATTGCCCCCTGCACGCCGAGCTACCTCCTCGGGGGATGATCAGAGTAGCAGTTCTAATCAGCTCCCTCCAGGGGTGGGCACATCAAATGGCCAAGGCTCTTCCCACCCCCTGCATTGTGGCAGGGTGCCTAGCCAAGCACCCCCTTTAAACCAGATGGTAAGAAAAAGCTCACTATCTAGTATTGTCTCCAAGCCAGTCTATTTCTAGAAATCTAAGGGCTAGTAACTTGTATGGTCTTGTGTGGTCTTCAGATAACCACAGGGCAGTTGTTCTCAACCTTCATAATGCTACAGTCCTTTAACACAATTCCTCATGTTGTGGTGACCCCTCCAACCTTCACACTATTTTCATAGCTACTTCATAACTAATTTTATGAGTCTTAATGTAAATATCTGGTATATACAATATCTGATATTTAACACCTGTATAAAGGCCATTCGACACACCTGGGGTCACAACACACAGGTTGAGAACCACTGCCATAGATGGTTTATTTTGGTTTTGGTCTTGGATATAGGGTCTCATTTAGTAGAAACTGACCTCAGACTTGCTGTTGTATTGGAGGCTGAGGCTGGCCTTGAACTTCTGGTCCTCCTGTGTCCCTCACAAATGAGGTGGTTTTTCCTTCACACATCCTATCTCTGTGGTCATTTAGACCCTCTTTTCTCTAAGTATTTTAAATCATGTCTTCTCAAAGTAGACAAAACTTAGGATCAGAAAGGCCTGATGATACAGTTCTTACCAATATTCCTAACTACTTGGGAAGGTTGAGTTTTATAAATCTCTTGGGTCTCAAATTGAGACCACAATCTCAAAAAGGAAAGCAGAAGAAATAAAGCACAGAAGCGCAGTGTATAAGCTACAAATTATGTCTGAAACATTGAAACTTCATTATAAGGATCTGGGAATGGAGCTCAATTGCTTCCCTAGCATGTAATGTGTGCACCGAACTATGGCTCTTCACATATAAATTAATTCAACCTCTTTTCTACTGAAAAGTCTGTCCCAGTAGGTGAAGCATCTTTCCAGCACCCAAGAGACAAGACAGCAAGACCACAAATTCAAAATTATCCTCAGCTACACAGCAAGTTTGAGACCAGCTTGGCTTCATGAAACCCTAGCTCATAAATGTATAGATGAATAAATGAGTAATAGTTGTTATTATTGCAGGATGTAGTTGGATCCAGAATGCTTAAAATGACTATTTGTGGTGGGGGAAAGATAAGAGAAATGCAGTCTCTTTTTCCTAGAGAGAGTTGCTTTGAGATTGGGGCTATTCCTGGTGGCAGGGTCACATTGATACCAATCCTTAGGGAATCCCTGTTCTCCTTGATGACTGTCTTTCCCCATCCGCCTTTCTGTTTTACTCACTGCCTCCAGCGGCCAGCAGCACCAGGAACATTTGGCTCTCTTCAAGATCCCACCAACGTATATGGCTCCTCTCGAGTCCCAGAGGTGCCTCCAGGAGATCCCTTGCAGCACCCACCCTTTGCCATACAGGTAAGCAGTCTGCAAAAGACAGCTGAGAAGGTTTTGCAAATGTGATTGAGAGATTGGCTCTTCTCACATTGAATGTGATTCGACCTCTTTACTGAAAAATCTGTCACACTAGATGAAGGGTCTTTCCAGTTATGTCTTGTTCTGTGAATGTGTTTCTTACCTTTTCTGTTGCCAGGCTCCAGTTGGAATCAGTAACCACCGAGGACCCCGGCTCAGTGCTCCTAAAGAGAAGATGTGTGAGGGTCTAACACACCTCTCCAATATGGGATCACATCCCCCCTCCTTGCAGCTTGGGCAGATGAATTGTCCCAGTCAAGATGGAAACATCTATCCACCAGCTCCATTCCAGGCAGGATTTATTCCTTCTAGGCATGGTGGGACTCCAGCCCGACCCCCAGACTTCCCTGAAAGCTCAGAAATTCCTCCTGGTCACATTTATCATTCATACAAGTACCTGAATCGAGTACACCCTGCTGTCTGGAATGGGAACCATGGTGCTACAAACTCAGGACGTTTGGGGCCAGATGAGAAGCCCCACCTGGGGCCAGGACCCTCTCACCACCCTCATACCCTTGGTCATGTGATGGATGCCCGGTTAATGAGACCACCTATCCCAGGAAACCAGTGGGCTAAACAATCAAGTTTTCTACCTCATGGAGTTCCTTCCTCGGGGTATATGCAACCACCTTGTAAGTCTGCTGGACATCGGTTGCAGCCTCCTCCAGCTCCAGCTCCAAGTCCTCTGTTCGGGGGACCCTCCCAGGCTCTCCGGGGGGTCCAAGGAGGGGAATCCATGATGGACAGCCCTGAAATGATCGCCATGCAACAGCTCTCCTCCCGAGTCTGTCCCCCAGGTGTGCCTTACCACCCCCGCCAGCCCACTCCTTCCCAGTTACCTGGTCCCTTTCCACAGGTAGCTCATTCAGCATCAGTGTGTGTGTCAGCCCCCAAGCCTGCTTTGGACAACCCCGGGAGTACACAGGATGTCAGTGAAACACAAGAGCCTGAGAATGACCGGGGTAATTTACGATGTGTCCTCCCCCCACTTTTGTGTGTCAATTCATGAGTAATCTTTTCGTATAGAATATGAAGATAACATATAAAAAGTGAGACTATTTTAGGAACTTTGCCTAAGAGACAGGATCTCTCTGGTGGTGGCTGTCTTGGAACATGGTAGGCTGGCTTCAAACTCACAGAGATCCCCTGCCTCTGCCTCCTAGTGCTGGGATCAAAAATGTACCACCATGTCCAGCCTCTTTTTGAAACTTTTTTATTTAAAGGAGTTTAACTAGCACATGCCTTTGTTTTGAGGCCTGGTCTACAGTCTACAAAGCCAAGACTGTTACATAGAGAAACCCTACCTCAAAAACAAAAAACAAAGTAAAGAACATGCCTTTATACAAGCTATTAACAACATCCTTGGGTTTATTTTCTTTGTTTTTTAATTGGGGATACCTTGTAAGGAGTTAGTTTTCTCTTACTGTGAGTCCAGGGACTGCACTCAGGCTTTCAGGCTTGGCAGCAGGTGCCCTTACTTTATGAGGCATCTTGATTGTCCTACTTAGGTTCTTGCTGTACTTCAAACTCATCTTTCACCTCCATCTCCCAAGTACTGGGATCATAGGCTTATACCACCATGCCCAGCCTCTGTGTGTGTGTGTGTGTGTTATTTTGTTTTGAGTCCAAGGATAATTTTATAGTTTAAAAGAAAAACCATGGAGTAGCCTAGCTTTAGAACCTCAGCTCCTGGGACTGGACAGATGGCTCAGAGGTTAAGAGCACTGACTGCTCTTCCAGGGATTCGGAGTACAGTTCCCAGCAACCACATGGTGGCTCATAACTATCTACAATTCAATCTGCTGCCCTCTTCTGGCATGTAGGCAGAACACTGTATGTGTGATTTAAAAAAAAAATCTTTAGAAACAAAAAAAAAAATCGCTCAGCTCCTGCCCAATGGAGGAGAGAAGGAAAAACTCATGCCAAGACTGGTATAAAAATCAGACTCATGGCAACAAGCAGCAATACAATGGGGAGGGGAGCTTTAGAGAAAGAGTAAGCCCTAAATAATGGTGGCACACACCTTTAATCCCAGTATTTGGGAGGCAGAGGCAGGTGGATCTCTGAGGCCGGCCTGGTCTACAGAGTGAGTTCCAGTACAGCCTCCAAAACAATACAGAGAAACTCTGTCTCGAACCCTCCCCCCCAAAAAAAGAATGCCTTGCCTAAGAAAGGAAAATCAGCCTGGCAGTGATGGAACACACTTTTGTTTTGTTTGTTTGAGACAGGGTTTCTCTGTGGCTTTGGAGGCTGTCCTGGAACTAGCTCTTGTAGAACAGGCTGGTCTCGAACTCACAGAGATCCGCCTGCCTCTGCCTCCCGAGTGCTGGGATTAAAGGCTTGCGCTACCAACACCCGTCAATGGCACACACTTTTAATCCCAGCACTTGGGTGGCATTTCTGAGTAATTCAGAAAATCTAGCGGACTGGCAGCCATGTGTGGCTGTTGTCTTTAAGCCTCAGCCCGGTATCTTTGTTTACAATTAAAATCCAAGGCACAGTGGATTGCTCTTAGCTAGTGAGAAAGTGTTAGAGCTGAGTTTGAGCCTATGTCATGTTCTTTGTGTAGCTTGTGTGTAAGTTGTGAGCCTTTGTCACTGTATGTGCAGGAGTCTGTAGAGGCCAAAAGAGGGCATCAGGTTACTTGGCCCAGAAGTTAACAGGTTGCCGTCTGGGTGCAGTAAGTCCCCTCACCCCAACCATCTTTCCAACCTCAGCATTGTGGTCTCTTCTTTCCTCTTCCCTTCTTCTTTGTTGGGTTTTTGTTGTTGTCATTGTGTCCCCCACCCCACCCCTAGGTTTTTCAAGACAGGGTTTCTCTGTAGCTTTGAAGCCTGTCCTGGAACTCACTCTGTAGACCATGCTGGTCTTGAACTCAGAGAGATCCTCCTGCCTCTACCTCTTGAGTGCTAGGATTAAAGGTGTGCACCACCACCACCTGGTCATCATTGTGTTCTTAATTGCTTCTTCCTCTCAGTGTCTCTCAAGCACGATGGTCTTGAAAGTCATTATGAAATGTTTTCAATGTCTTAATTATTTCCATGGGTCTCCGATACATAACAGTGAAGAACAGTGGATTCTAGTAGTAATGCTGTTTAAAAACCAGAAAGATTGGGACTAACATGGGAAACAAGCTTGTTCCTAATTTAAATATATAATAAAAAAGTATAATAAAAAATAATAGAGAAGCTAAAGAAAGCATTAAAAAACCCAGAAAGAGCCGGGCGTTGGTGGCGCATGCCTTTAATCCCAGCACTCGGGAGGCAGAGGCAGGCGGATCTCTGTAAGTTCGAGACCAGCCTGGACTACCAAGGGAGTTCCAGGACAGCCTCCAAAGCCACAGAGAAACCCTGTCTCAAAAAAAAAAAAAAAAAAAAAACCCCAGAAAGATAAAACTGAAAGAGAGAAAAGTATGTGATTTTGTTTAATACTTGGCTGAGGAATGGAGTCACTTGAAGTTTTATGGAAATGGATGAAAAATTCATGTAAAATAGATACTAGATCTGTAACTCAGACTTAAATCTTGTGACACCTTTCTAGCCTGAGTGTTGACAACACAGAAGAGGCCAAGACTTAGGCATTTTTTTGGTAGCATAGATGTACTATGTTCTGCCTACAGAAGGGAGTGTGCAGACTCCCCAATATCATGACACCTTTCAGAGACTCCCTGTGACACAGGATCTAGCTGAGGTTTAATTTGCTGAATGTTGCCTGGTGCTGGTGGTACATGCCTTTAATCCCAGCACTCAAGGCTGAAACAGGCGGATCTCTTGAGTTCAAAGCAAGTCTGGTCTACAGAGTTCCAAGATAGCCATAACTGTTAACACAGAGAAACCCTGTCTTGAAAAAAGCAAACAACAAAAAAAAGAAATTGCCGAATGTCATCTCAGCTTTGACCCTGCTCATCTGACCGTTTGCCGTGTTCTTGCCATTACTGTACCCATCAATGTTGTCATTTCAACTACTGATTGGCTGTTTTGTTGCTCTCCTTCCCCAGCTGAACCTTTGCCTGGGCTTGAAGAGAAAACAGCAAGTGTTTGTGCTTCAGAGGGCATATACCTCAAACAGCTACCTCACCTGACACCTCCCCTGCAAGCCAACTGTACCAGGCAAAGCTCACCGCAAGAAAGGGAAACAGAGGACCCAGAACTCAAAAGTGATGCTTCAGAAACTGCAGCCAATTATAAAGCATCAAAGAGCAAGAACACCTGGCCTCTGGACAATAGCTACACCAGCCCAACTGTGCAAGGTTGTTTGCGAGACCTCTCCATGGTGGCAGATGGAGGGACTCTGCCTGAAAATGGGGTTGTTGATGAAACATCTTCTTGTAGGTCAGAGGGGAAGGGCCTTGGTGGCAGTGGTTCAGAAAAGCCACTCTGCCCCAGGGGTAAAACATTGCAGGAAACCATGCCATGTACAGGACAGAATGCAACGACTCCTCCTTGCACAGACCCCAATTTGATGACAGGCACTGTAAATCAGTTTTCTCCCTTGTACATGCCTGGCCTAGAATACTCTAATTCAGCTACACATTACCACATGAATTCAGGTCTACAAGGCTTGGGCTCTGTGATGGGAGGAAAGTCCCCAGGATCACATCCTCAGCCCTTCTCCCCCAGGGGCATCCAGCCTAACAGTACCCATCCTGGACTCTTTCCCCAATACCGCCCCCAGCAGGGAATGAGGTATGCCTACCAACCATCTTCTCAGCCCTCCTACCATCCCTATCAGCGGACTCCTTATTACACATGTCCACAGGGCTTTTCTGATTGGCAGAGATCTCTACCTTCCCAGAGAAGCCCAAGTGGACCCCCAGGGAGTCACCCCCCACGTCCTTTCTTCTCAGATAAGAATGCTTTGCCTAGCCTGCAAGGCTGTGAGACACTCAATGCTGCCTTAACTTCTCCAACTCAAGTGGATGCAGTGGCTGCTAAAGTTGTCCCATCTGATGGACAGAATCCTGGTCCAGAGGAGGAAAAGCTGGATGAATCTGTGGAGAGGCCAGAGAGTCCCAAAGAATTTCTAGATCTGGACAACCATAATGCAGCTACCAAGCGGCAGAGCTCACTGTCTACCAGTGACTATCTTTATGGAACTCCACCTCCACCTCTGAGTTCAGGAATGACTTTTGGCTCACCTGCTTTCCCACCCCACAGTGTGATGCTGCATACAGGGTCTCCTTACACTCCTCAGCGTCCAGCTAGTCATTTTCAGTCCCGGGCATACCCATCCCCTGTGGCTGCCCATCCACCTCCCCATCCGGTGGCCACCCAGCCCAATGGCCTCTCTTCAGAGGGCCCCCTCTACCGATGTCAGGAAGAGGGCTTAGGTCACTTTCAGGCTACAATGATGGAGCATACTGGCACTGGAAGCGGAATAAGAGGCTCTTTCCATGAAGTGCACAGACCATCAGGGTAAGATTGCTTAGGTTTCTTTGTCCAAGATGAAGAAATGGATATGAATTATGACTTGATGGAGATTACATCATAGTTTTACGTTTGACATTTGCTTCCCTTGCTGAAAATGAATCAACATTTGCACTGGTTTTTGTTTGTGGTGGTAGATAGGTAACTCTAGAGCTTTTTCTCTGTGAATTAGTATTTAAATTATTAGATTGTTATTTTAAAAAATAGAAAAGGTAGGGGGTGTTAGTTTTCTTTGAAACGAGGGTGCACAGTGTAGCCCATGCTACCCTCAAACTCTCAGGAACCATCCTGCCTCAGCCTCCTGAGAACTGGGATTACAGGTGTGGGACACTGTGCCTGGTCTGTCAGGAAAGGTATTGATATTGCACACTTAACTACAGTTTGAAAGTTGCGGGCAGAGTCTGGTCAGCTTTGCTGCTTAGTTGACTTGACACTGACCAGGATAAAGAGGATCTGCTTTAGGATGTGTGTGCTTTATGTTTTTGCATCTTACTTCATTACTCCCTATTGTTGATTTACAAAAAAAAGGTGAAACAAATCAAATGATGTTATCATGAGACTTTATCAACAAATAGGTTAGTGGCAGTGCCTTTAAGAAACGTATACAGGCTGGGCGGTGGTGGCATAGTCCTTTAGTCAGAAGCAGGTGAATCTCTGAGTTCCAAGCCAGCCTATATCTACAAAGCGAGTTCCAGAGAAAACCTGTCAAGAAAGAAGAAAGGACAGTCTAGTAAGGTTGTTTATAAGATTATAAAGCTTAGGGGGCTGGTGAGATGGCTCAGCGGTTAAGAGCACTGACTGCAGGCAGAACACTGTATACACAATAAATAAGTATTTTTTTAAATTATAAAGCCTAATCATTATACCATTCAATTTAAAAGCTATCCATCAAAAGTTCTCCTCATTTGTTAACTGTGATGGTTGTTTTTGTCTGCTTGAGATAGGATTTTGCTTGGTAACCCAGTCTGGCCCGATACTCAGTCTTCTTGCCTCAGCCTTCCCAGTGCTGGAATTTGCAGGTGTGTACCATAGTCACTCACTCTCACATTTTACATTTGCCTTCTGGTGGTGGTGGGGTGTGATATTGTTATGTTGGGGGATATTTGTTCTTTTCAGACAGTATTCCTCTTATGTAGTTCTGGCTGTCTGGAATTCTCAACTCTCAGTGTAGCCTCTAAACTCATAGGGGTCCCATTCCCTCTGCCTCCCAAATGCTGGGAATAAAGGTGTGTGCCACCACCCCAGCTTGTTTTTGTTTTTAAGGCAGTCACACGCACCTTAGCATGTATCATTTGAGCCTTAGGACACTGCCCTGCAGCATAGTTGCAAAGTGGAAGAGCCACACACAGGGAGAAATATGGTGGTCACTTATGACCTTAAACACCCTCCGTGTCCTTGGAATATCTTTCAGAGATTTGCTTTTTCTCTTCCTTTTGATATCTTTCTGCTCCAGAATCCAGTCTAGGCTCAGTATTTATTTTATGTGGTTATTGTATATGTTTAATCTCTATACAAATCTTTAATATCTTTGTCTTGTTTCAGGCTGGTTCTCCAGAGAGTATTATTTATTTATTTATTTATTTGTTTTTTGTTTATTTACTTATTTATTTATTTATTTATTTATTTATTGGTTTTTCAAGACAGGGAGACAGGGTTTCTCTGTATTGTTTTGCAGGCTGTCCTGGAACTTGCTTTGTAGACCAGGCTGGCCTGTCTCTGCCTCCTGAGTGCTAGGATTAAAGGCGGTGCGCCACCAACGCCTGTCTCAGAGAGTATTTCTAATGCTGGGTTTGGTCCATTGGCCCCTATGTTTAGGCTCTAGTGTACTTGGCTTAGGTATTTGCTATATCACCCCAGGAAGCTTGTTATTCCATTTTGTCCCAGTATTAATGATTCCAAATTTACCAGCTGGCAGTGTCTTTGTGACTCAAGTATCTGCTCTCCTAGTTGATCCTCATTAACTCTTTAACTGTCCCTTTCTTCTGTCTGTAGAATGCACATGCATCCAATCCAGTCACAGTCTTTATTTCCAAAGACCCCGGCACCTGCAGCATCACCGGAACAGTTGCCACCACATAAGCCCCCAACACTTCCTCTGGATCAGGTAAGAATTATTAAAAACTAGGGGCTAGAGAGATGGCTCAGAGGTTAAGAGCACTGACTGCTCTTCCAGAGGTCATGAGTTCAATTCCCAGCAACCACATGGTGGCTCACAACCATCTTTAATGAATGAGATCTGGTGCCCTCTTCTGATGTGTAGACGTACATGGGGGCAGGGTGTTGTGTTCGTAATAAATAAATAAATCTTTTAAAAAAATATTAAAAACTAGAGTGTTCCCTAACCCTTGCAGGTATAAGGAATAGATGCAGATTGGGTTTCATGGTACTTCATGTTTCGGGTTCCTAGACATTGGGATATTTGCAGACTTTACTAGTTGTTTTAATTTAAAACCTGAATCCCAAAATGCTGCAGAATGTGACTTTTTTTTACTCTTATATCCAGACATAAAATTTATTTCAATGTTGTGTGATGGTGCACATACCTTTAATCCCAGTACTTGGGAGACAGAGGCAGGTAGCCTCTTGAGTTTGAGTTTTGAGGCCAGCCTGGTCTACAGAGTGAGTTATAAAAAGTTTTGAGCTGCCATATGGGTGCTAGGAATTGAATCCTGGTCCTCTGGAAGAGCAGCCAATTCTCTTAACCACTGAGCCATCTCTCTAGACCTAAGGAAACTCAATCTTGAAAGAAAAATCTGGGGTCCCAATATTCAACCTAGAAAGATGGCTCAGTGATTACAAGGACTGACTGCAGAGGACCCAGGTTCAAGTCCCAGCAACCACATGGCAGCTCACACCTATCTGTAACTCCAGTTCCATGCCAATGCACATTTTTGAGAAAAAGAAAAGGTCATTCATCCTGTACCTGACCATGTTATTCTGAGACTAGAGGTGGTTTTTGATTTTTAGTAGGGACTGAATAGTTTTATGTTCCTGGGTTTTTATGATGCTGGAGAGTCCAGGCCTGGGGATCATGAGTCCTAAATATGTGCTCTGATTATCCCTGAGTTTTATGGGGGGGGGGGTGTTGGGAGTTGTAGTTTCTTTGTTTTTCTGGTTTTGAGGCAGATTCACTTATGTGACCTTAAACTTGCCTCTGCCTCCCAAGTGCTAGGTTCACAAATATATAACTACACTGAGTACTAAGCACCACAGCCCAAGTCCACACAGGAGGTCCAGGACTCAGGCCAGCTTCTGGGGTAAACCAGCAATATAGGCAAGCCTGTGTGGCATTCTTTGACATATTGTTAGCCAATTGATGTGATTTAATATTTTTTGTTACTTTCAGAGCTAGTCCAAGGAGGAAATAACCCCCAGGGAAATGGACAGCTGCACATGAAAACATCCAGGCCTTGGAGGATTTGGAGGAGTGATTTTTATAGGCTTGTGTTCTGCTATCCTGCTCCACCTCTTCTGTGAATCATACCATCCTCAGAGCTTGAACTGCTGGACTTTAAATGCACACTCTGTAGATGACTGACTGACCGGGCCTGTGGCTGGGATCAGCTGCATAGCTGACATACTTAGCAAGAGCAAGTGTACCTGGAGTTCTTGCTGTCTTCTCCAAATCTCAAGACTCTGTTCAGGGAAAATCACTTTAAATTTGGGTGGAGGGTACATGTAAGGAAGGAGTGGTGCTTCTAAACTTTCATGAGCAGCTAATCTCAGGTATATATTTGGGAAAGGGACTACTTGTAGTATTAATGTTTTTGGAGCTGGGTCCAGTTTACAGAATTTTCATGTTGCTTTTTTTTTTTTTTTTGTGAATGTATTGTATATAGAGTGGGACAGTCAGGTGGGCACATGGAGGAGTTGGGAGTCCTTCCCAGCTGTGGCAGGCACACAGTACTGGAGTAAGACTGTTTTTGTATAGTCAGGTCACACTGAATGCTTGTGGAGCTTGGGAAAGAGACCTGGAAGGTTTCAGCTTATGTATGTCACTAACTTGTTTTCCAGCCTGCCTCAGAGACCACTTACTGCATTCATCCTTCTCAGCGTTCATTTCCCAGTTTGTCAGCAGGTGCTGTCATGTGGCCTACTGGGTGTTCCTGCCAGAGGGCAGACTGCTCTCACCTTAATGGCCCAAGTTCTGGATTCGGGAAAGCATGTCCCTTCCTTATTTTTCCACCAGCTCTACCAGATAGTTGTAAACCAGGAATTTGGGCTCTTTAGAGTGTTTTACTTATTAGAAAATGAAGTGGCTTCTTCATGGGCCTGTTAAGCCTGTGGTCTAGAAGCCATCACATAACGCTTTCTAGCACAAATTGTGTTTTGTGAAAGTGACTACTCAGGTTTGTTATATATGTTAGTCTCAATAAAGAAATTGCACAGGTTTGATTAAGGAAAGTATATTCTATAGATTGAAATTTGAATTTAGGACTATTTCAGTATGTATAGTTTTTATTCAGTTTAAGAGAATCATAGTAAACTTGGTCGTGTTGATTTAAAGTAGCTGTCAAGGGCTAGTTCTTGAAAATTATTTGTTGTGTCTGTGATAGCAAACAACTTTACAGTATTAAATTACTTTACTATGAATTTAGAAGTGAATTACACTGGATTCTCCCTGCTTTAGCCTTCTGCATTTTATTTTAGCTGAGATATCACCAAAGTTAGAACTATGTTTAAATTTTTTAATATCTCACACAGAATAAACCAAGGGAAGTGCCCCAGAGTTGCAAGTCTCTGTAAAAGAATATAATTTTACAGTATGCTTTGGGGTAGTAGAGATCTCCATAAAAATACCTATCTACCCTAGATTCTTAGAAGTTTAGGCGTGGAAATTTCCCTATGGCCCCAGCATCCACAGTAAATGCAGAATAGTCTGCTAAATATATGAAGGGGGAGGGAAATAAACTGGAAACATCCAGGTTATAGAGATAATTTGGACCCTAGGGCACCTGCTCTCGAATGATGGCAGTGATTGCTGGTGGTGCTGACCCCTGTAGGATCTCCCAGGTATGCACATACAAATAAGCAATTTTCTTTCCAATAAATTTGTTTTAATTGGTGTTTCTAAATCAGTTGAATTGGAAGTCTAAAAACATACACGATCCAGTTGAGAATTAGAAGAGTGAAGTCAGATTCGTTGGGTGGCTCTTGGTCTGCTGTTGAGCTGTCTGAGCCACCTTAGTCTTACTACTGCCGTTTCTGTACCTGTTCCTAAAGCAGAGGCCTGTAATGTGTCACTAGGAATGTTAACAACCCTCAGGCCTCTTTGAAGGTGCTAAAACTAGAGGTCACTAAACTGAGTGCATTCTGCTTCCACCTCCCCACCTCACCCCGTTTACCTATTTCTAAAAAAAAAATTGCTGTGAATAGCATTGGGGAATAAGGAATTGGTGAGTTCCTTTATCCCTTACGTTCTTGAGGAAATTAAATAGAAAATTGAACTACTGTATTAAGTTTTAACACTGTGAGAAGAACCTGTTATGTCCTATGTGGGAATTTGGTGGTGTCTAGTGTTTACAGAACCTAGTCCAGTAGGTTCTTCCTCTGGTCTGACCCCAGCTTTTTTGGTTTTTGAAGTACTAGGTCCTTGGAGCAGCCAGAACACAATGCTGCACTTCTGTGAGCCCCTCACCCTGGAGTGCAGACAAGAACTTTTGTTTTCGCCTTTCTCTCCAGCACTTCTCTTCCAAGTGTCTCAGCAGATGCAAATTATCTCATTTGCAGTCTTCTTCAGTAGGAAATGGTGGTTGTGTGAGGTGTAATAATTAGAAAGTAGTATGTAAAGGTGTCTTAAGAGATTCACTCTTGCTCTAGGACCTGTATCCATTGGTCACTATGACCTTGTCAGTATGTTGACTCTCCGTGGTCCCCAAGAGGACATAGCTGTGCATAATTGAAAGCACTCTTTGATTTAGTGTTAGACTTACCTTTATCAGACTTAGTCATAACTTAAAAACCTTAAGGCCTCAACGGGCAGTGATGGCACAAGCCTTTGATTCTAGCACTCGGGGAGGCAGAGGCAGGTGGATCTCTGTGAGTTCCTGGCCAGTCTGTTTCAGGACAGGCTCCAAAGCTACAGAGAAACCCCTGTCTCCAAAAAAGCAAAACCTTTAGAACCTGAAAGAAATAAAAGATTCAGAAAATAGAGTTTTTTAGAAGGTTTATGGGTGTATGTCTTTGCCCCCTAACCCAAACCCGCCCTGCTGTGAAATCTGTTTCTTTTACAAGATGATAATGATGGAAGCTGTTGGCTAAAATTCCTTGCTTAGAAGAATGTGAAGAATAGAACAAAATACGCAGGGTTCTTGTTCATGTAACTTTCTATCCCATCTTAAAAATAAAGGGGCAGCCACTCTGCCTTCTGAGCCAGACTGGTTTTTGGGTCATCTGGTGGTACATCTGACAGCCTGTGCTGAGCCCAGGCCCCAGGCCAGCTGCTCTCAAAAGATAGCCCTCATGCTAGTCCTTATATTAAACTGTGGTCTCCACCCCTCAGCTCAGATTTCAACTTTAAATGTCAATTACTCTAGCTTTCCTCTTGACTGTCCATTTGGTGTTATTGTCCAAAAACATTTGTTTGCTGTATGGCTGTTATGTATGTTAATTTCTACTGGCATCAAAAGGTATGCATGTTAGCTGCAGCATTAAACACACAGATATCCATTGTAGTTCTTACCAAGTTTGCCACCAACAAGACTTCAAGTCATAGCACTTGGTCAAACTTTTCTTTTAATGAATGTTCAAGTCTATAAATGTTAAACTGCTATTAAGACCTAATTTGGGACTGGGCGGTGTTGTCGCACGCCTTTAGTCGCAGCACTTGGGAGACAAAGGCAGGTGGATCTCTGTGAGTTCGAGACCAGCCTGGTCTACAAGAGCTAGTTCCAGGACAGCTTCCAAAGCCACAGAGAAACCCTGTCTGGAACGCCCCCCAAAAAAGACCTGATTTGGCGGGCCAAGGATGTAGGTCTATGGTAGAGCATTTGCCTAGCATGTACAGGACCCTGTCTCTATTCAATCCCAAAACTACAAAATAAAAAAGATCTAAGGCAGGTCTGGTGATAGGGGCCTTTAATCCCAACTCTTGAAAACCTGGGCCAGGAGGATCACAAGTTCAAGCTTGCCTGGGCAACTTAGTAAGATGCTATCTCAAAAATGAAAAGAAGGGTGGGGGGTATAACTCAGTGAGTAGAGGTCTTGTGCAGCATGCATGAGACCCTGTCTTCAATTCCTAGTACCACAGACACAATTGAAATTCATGGGAAGGCCTAATTCAAAGTGCTGAACCCAAGGGCAAGTGTCAAAATCCTCATGTGTTTCAAACAACCTCATTTGGTCTTTTAGCATTCTTCACAGTTCACTTTTTAGCCAGATTCCTTATACACCTAACCCTGTTCTGAAGTTCCCTTCTGTGTGTCAATGAGGATTCAGTTCTGAGGGTTTCTGGAATGGGGGTAGCTCTTGTCAACAACTATGGCAAGGATACTTAGCATTTGGGTAAACTATAATACAGAGGCATTTCCCCCATGCATTTAAAGCCCTGACTTGATACAAATGTGAGCCAAGCATGGCAGCCAAGGTCTGTAATCCCAGCAAGTAGAGGCAGACAGATCTCTCTGAGTTCAAAGCCTGCTTGTCTAGCTCCAGGCCAGCCAAAGCTCTACATAGTGAGACCCTATTCCAAACAAACCCCACAAAGTAAAAACGGTGATGAATGTGATTGAGACTTGGTACTGGCCTGCCTTTTTTACTCAGTGACTGGACTCTGTAGTCTCAAGGCATGAAGTAGACCTTCTCATTGAGAAGATGGGCTGCATCTCCACTCTGTGATGCTGACACGAGCTTTGCTCTTGATCCCTCTCTGCCTGTCAGTCTTGGGTCAAACATACTCTCTGGGTGAAATGGGGCATTTAGTCTTCTACTGTCTAGACTTAAGTTGGCTGCTCTCATGCAGTCTTCTCCCTTTGGGGCTCAATAGGAACAGCTTTATGGATATTGAGTAATTTATTGAAATGCTGCCTTGCTCCACCTCATTCGGGAGCCTCCGGCCCCTTCATTTCCCTAAGTGTGGGGCATTTCTCATTTGACTTGTGGACAGCTCCTGGGGGCCCCAGCCATGCTCCTCCAGCCTGCACACAGTGTAAGACATTTGTCTCTGCTACAAAAGTGAACACCCTATGAACTGTCCTGGCCAGTACTGGAAAGGGAATGGTATTTATTTTTATATTGTATATATTTTGTCATGGTCTGCTGGTTCCCTGTTTCACTGAGAGCGACAATTACCTCAATAGTTAGTTTGATATTGTGTGTTGGATAATTTTTGAAAGAACTTTTTTAAGGGCCTTTTTGATCTTTGGAGATCTGTAGATTTATTTCCATATGAACTGGTTATTTTGTATAAAGTACATTGTTAAACTAGCAAGGCTTTGATGCGTGTGCCTGGTGTGAATTCATGTGTCACTTTTCTCCTTAGGGCCCACGCCTGTTTCAACAGAGCTTTGAGCTGGGCCACACTGCCACCACCTGAAATAAATCATCCACTTCCATCTCAATTAGATGCGGAGAATTTTCACAGTGATACGGTCTTAGGTGCTGTCTACCAAACCATGGCGGAGAGAAAGCCCATCACAGCTAGTTCACCACTCCAGGCCTTTACCCCTCACTCCAGTTACAGCACATGACAGGTGTAGGTATCCTCTTCCCAAGGATGATGAACATGTATGGCATTGACTCCCTACAGAGCCCTTGGTGGGCATGGGCAGTCAGTTAATGGGGACCATAGATAACTAGCTTGCAGTCGAAGTTAAAAGTATCCAGAAGGAGGAGTTGCAGCCTTAAAGAAGCTTATGCTAACCCAATTGTTTTTAAGTTCTGGAAAGCGTTTTGGTGAAGGTGCTAGGTTCTAATAATCAACTTTAGTCTCAGACCAAAGCTCCTGGCTGCTTTTATTCTTATTAGATTTGCAAGTAATCCTCATTTCATAAAAATTCAACCATACGTGTGCCCACCTACAATCCCTGGACTCAAGCCTGCAGGACATTCAGGATCTTGGGGACAGCTAGGATTCCACATCCAGACCTTGTCTCTCCTTCACCTCCACATGGGGTTCTTGTCAAACTTAAGATTGGTGGTCTTAAAACATAGGCATTTTCATCTCTCCGTCCAAGGCCTCTTCCAGGAAAAAAAAAGTCCTGAGAATGTTTATAAGAGAATGTGCATTTCTTCTATAAAATATGCTATGTCAACGGGTGGTGGTATTGCATGCCTTTAATCCCAGCACTCGGGAGGCAGAGGCAGGGGGATCTCTGTGAGTTCGAAGCCAGGCTGGTCTACCGAGCAAGTTCCAGGACAGCCTCCAAAACAATACAGAGAAACCCTGTTTGGGGGGGAGGAATTAACAAAACAACTCTTAGGACTTAATGTAGATGAGTTGACTCTGTACCCTTTGTGAGCCCCTCCCCCCCAGCTCCTGATAAGGCCAGGTGTGATGCATTCCTGTGGTCTTAGCACTACAGAGGTGGAAGCAAAGTCCTGCCTTTGTAGCTTGGGGTGCATGAGACCCCATCTCAAAACAGTTGTTCTGCATACATCTTTTTGACCAACCAATGCTAAATACAACAAAACAAGCTTCCACTGGACAGCTTGGTTTTAAAACTTGCTGGAGCAAACAGTTACCTGGATTCTATGCTGTGACATTCCTTGTTAAAACTGGCACAGAAACAAAAGGGCACAAGTAAAATGTGGCTGGGGAAGAAAGGAAACTGTAAGCTGCTTGTGAGCTGCTCTCCGGTTTGGCCATTGGAGACTGGCATCAGTCCTGTCTCTGGTGTCCTGTTCAGGAGGAAAGGTACCTTCCCTTAGAAGCAGCCCCTGCTGACTGCTTTGCTCTAATCTCGATGAAAGCTTTACTAACCGTTGGGAAAACACCCAGATGGGGATCATGCAGAAGGAGAATGGCCTGTAGCCTGTGGTGGTTATGCAAGTGGTGTCTTTGTCGGGAAGGCTGTGGGCTCTGGTCTCCTGGGTGGCTGGAAATCCTGCCAGCTCAGCCAGAGGTGCTTGAGCTCTGAGCACCCGTGCTGCAGCTGCTTGCCTGGGCAAGCTTCACCGCCCTCACCCCCCATTTGGCTCTGGTAGCTTGGCCTTGCTGATCTGTTGCCCTGGATTCAGTTCCTTGAGCTTTTGAAAGGACAATGTTTGTGCGTTTCTTTCAGTCTCCTTTGTGCTTACAAGGCTCACTCCTCTAGTTTCCTGAGCAGTTTTAGCCAAAGCTTTCAGTGCAGGGTGAACTGTGTGGTTGCAGCCAAGAAGGCAGCTGGGAAATGCCCAGACTGAGCTATTGTGTGCTGCAGTCCCTGCCCCTCTGTCTCCATGACAGGAATTTTAATTCAGGTGTCTTGAGACCATTTGAGCAGTGGAAAACCACAACTTGCTCCTAGGATCCTGTCAACTCATTCCTGACTGCATAGGACCAATCTCCCTAGTCTAGCCAGTTAGAGCTGGCCAGAGTGGTTTGAAGAAATGAAGCCATTTCCTCAGGTTGTATCCAGAGTTTTCACTGTGGGAAGGAGTTAAATCTTACAGGAAGACCCAGCACAGCCTGGCCTGGATTATACCAAAACTGAGATGTGGAGTGACTCCTAACCAAGTTGTCAGTAAGTACAGTTGCCCTTGGCATCCTCGGGGATTGCTTCCAGGACCCCCATCTGCAGGCCATAAGAGTCCCTGTGTAACCTGAGACTTGCATGTTGTCTATACACATCTTACGGTATACAGTGTAGGTTTCTTATAAAGCCTGTATAAGTAGTTGTTGAACTGTACTGTTTGATGCTAACGAGAAAATGTACATACTTAGCACAGAATCCCACTCCCACTTGTTTGGTGCAGTTTGTTGAATTCACTTGATGTGTGACAGCATCTATCTGGCTTTTTTTTTTTAATTCAGAATACAAAAGGGGAAAACTAACTTCCTTTTCTCAGAGTTAGTAATGAGGGAGAAACACTGGAGAAACTGGCCTACAGCAAGGTGCTGGAAGGAGTGAGCAGTGCTTAGCCAGAATTGAAGGTGATGAAGAATGTTTTTGTTCCCTTTAGTTAATCACAGCAGGGTGGTTCTTGGTGCATTTGTGTTATTTGACTTGGACATACCTCAGCACACAAGTCAGGTATGATCTGTTGCGGTATAGGGATCTGGACCTGCAGTATGAACAACTGAACATCACCTAGGAACTGGTTCAAATGCAGGTTCGACTCCTGCCTCATCAGTCCATGGAGGGCCTTACAGAGTGACCTGTCTCAAAACTAAAACTAGAACCCCAAGTCAACAGAAAAGCAGGGCTGGATGTAGTTTAGTGTAAGGCGCTCCTGTGGTTCTGATGAACACCCCTAAGATTTCAGGTTACAAACCTTTACCCCTTTCTGGGCTGAACTTTTCCCTGCTTACCCAATGGTCAGCTCTAACTTTGAAGAACTTGGGATCCAGCCCACACTACTCTGGCTAGTGGAGAACAGTGGTGACAGGTGTCCTCTCGTCCACACCTGGGAAGGAGTAGCAAAGCTGAGGATTAGCTCCTTACTGTCCACCCTGGTTCAGGCCACCTGCTTCTGTCTGTCCTCCTTTCATTGGTCTCCGTCAGGTCAGCTTCCCATTTTCTCTGCTCCTCAGGAATCTGAAACTGTGTCCCTGCCTTGCCCTCACACTAGTCTGCTTATCCATGACAACCCATCAGCAAACTTGACAAGCTCCTGCCAGTCCTGGCTGCCTCTAGCCTGCCTGCTGGTACAGTATTTGGAACCTTGACTGTACCTATGTCATCAGCGTATCCCAGTAACACCATTGGTTCACTGTGTCTCCGAGGTGGAAAACAACTGCCTTCCTAATAGGTTTGGGGTCTTGCAGGGCCAGTCTGAAAGCAAGCAGGCCTTGTAACACCTGCAAACCAAAGCTGAAGATCCCTTCCACCCTGCCTGTCCGCTTTGTTTTTTTGTTTTTGTTTTTGTTTTTTAATATTTTATTGTGTATACAGCCTTCTGCCTGCATGCCAGCAGAGGGCACCAGATCTCATTACAGATGGTTGTGAGCCACCATGTGGTTGCCGGGAATTGAACTCAGGACCTCTAGAAGAACAGTCAGTGTTCTTAACTGCTGAGCCATCTCTCCAGCCCCCGGCTGTCAGCTTCTGTATGGCTCCTTTCTGGTCTACAATGTCACACCAGTTTGTTTGTTTGAGACAGAGTCTCATGAAGCCCAGGCTGGCTAGAATTTGCCTCTGCCTCCTGGCTGTGACTTATGTGCTGGGGACCTGTTGGACTTCATGCACCTTAGGCAAGTACTAATAAACTACATACATCTCAGCCCTGCTTTTCTGTTGTCTTGGGGTTCTACTTTTGGTTTTGAGACAGGGCACTCTGTAGAGAGGGCTACCTGGAAATCACTGGTTAGTCTAGGCTGCCTTCAGATATATGACAATTTATATAATCCCAGGACTTGTAGACAGGCTTCAAGTCCTGGCTCAATTTTTTCTCTATCTTCCTCTGTTTTATTTTGTTGTTTTTCAAGACAGGGTTTCTCTCTAATCCTGGCTGTCCTGGAATTCAACTCACTCTGTAGACTAGATTGGCCTTGAACTCAGAGGCAGCCTACCTCCAGAGTGCTGAATAAAAGGTGTACGCCCACCGCACCCAGCTCTCTCCTTTTATGTGTATGAGTGCTTTGGCTGTGTATGCACCATACCCTTGCCTGGTACCCACAGAGGTCAGAAGAGAGTATTGGAATGCCCTGGAACAGAAGTTACAGATGATTGTAAAAAGTACTTGCAACCAAGAAGCATACATGAGTGGTCACATGTGAAATGACATACCCCCTTCTTGTACGTGACATACTCCCCCTCTTTTTTTTTTTTTTTTTTTCTTCGAGACAGGATTTCTCTATTGCTTTGGAGGTTGTCCTGGAACTCGCTCTGTAGACCAGGCTGGCCTTGAATTCACAGAGATCCGCCTGCCTCTGCCTCCCAAGTGCTGGGATTAAAAGTGTAGGACACCACCATCCGTCACGACATTCCTTGCAGATGCTGCCGTCGTTGGGGTTAACAGCCACACTCACCTAGCCTGGGCATTGACATCAGGCTCCATGCTGACCCCTCCTCACACTTGCCGTCATCCTCGGTGTGCTCAGCCAATAAATACTGGGGTCGTGCAGAAGTGGGCACGCTGTGTTGGTTGCCACTTGACTGGCCATCTTTCTGACATCTGGTCTGAATGTTGGGGAATCTCCACCCCCCAGTCACCCTGCTGCTGCAGCTGCCTTAGTCAGATTGTTTCTCAGCTTCATCTCCAGCACCCTACTAGTAACCAGGTGAGGGGAGCTCTGGCCTGGTGTGGCTTCTGTGAAGCTGGATCCAGACCAAAGTGCAATGTGGACTGTAGTGGAGGCTTAGTGGTTGCTTGGCACCTCCACGCATGAGAAAGCGTTGCAGCAGGGACAGAAGGGAGGGGCTGCACTCTGATAAAATCCCAAGGACAAAGCGGCTCCTATTCATGGGAAGCCCAGCCCATCCTTTACTCCAGAGAAAGCAGAAAGAAGGTCCTTCATGAAAGCTGGTAAGGAGTTGTCTTGTCTGTCCGTGTCAAGCATATAGAGTTAGTAGGAAGAGATGGCAAGTAAGCCAGGGGAGAGGGCCTTCCATGTCACCCACTGCATCAGGGGTGAGAGGAAGTCTGGCATCCAGGAGCATCCTGGGAAGTAGGGCACTTCCTAGACAGCGAGTCAAGACTAAGCTAATGGCCACTCTGGTAGGAGGAGCTTAGCCCTGGGAGACCATATGCTCTGCTGGTAGGAGGAATCAGCCCTTGTTCTCATTGCTGAGACCCCTGACCCAGCTTCATAACAAAGAAGAGGACAGCTCAGAAAGGCTGGCTGTCTTCTGCTAATATCAACTGCAAGTCAAAGGCAGGGGTTGCCTTTATGGGTCACTGAGACCAGCGTGGTCTTCATAGCAAGTTCTAGGACAGCCAAGGCTACATAGGCCCCCTCTTTCAAAACAAAACAAAAAACCACTTCTGAGAGGTAATGACATTGACATTTAGATATCACTCTGCTTCCCAAAGAACAATTTGTGACTTACTGTTGGTCCGTGGGCAGAGTGCTTCCTGGGTACATTACCAGTGTGTGCAAGACAATGAGTAACCCCTCAAGAATCTGCTTGAGCTGATGCAGAGGAGAAGGGTGGGGTGGGGGCAGGAATCTATTTGTCCTTACCATAGTGTGGGTATGGGAGGTCATAGGCAACTGTGGGGGTCGGTTCTCCTACTGTGGATCCCAGGATTGACCAAAGGTTGTCAGTCTTGACACCCTGACTGCTGAGCCATCTGCAAGTTCTAGGCAGGGTTTGGGTTTGGTTTTGTTTTTTTACCAATGATGAAGGACCTGTTTTTCTCCTGGACTGGTCCCTTTGGAACTACAATAGCAACAAATAGTGCGAAAATAGAATTAAATGGCAAGATAAAGCACAGCTGGAAGTATGGCTCAGTGAGTTTGTTACACAAACTGGGAGACCTGAGTTCAGTCCCTGGAGCCCACATAGGAAGGAAACAGTTTTCAAAATTTGTCCTCTGACCTCTACATACACATCAGACTCATACTTTCAAAAAATGTTTTTATTTTATGCGTATGAGTGTTTTGCCTGCATATATATCTGCAACACATCCATGTCTGGTGCCAGAAGTGGGCATCAGATCCCCTAGAATTGGCATTACAGGTGGTTATAAGCCACCATGTGCTTGCTGGGTTTTGAAACTGGGTCCTCAACCATAGCTCTTAACCACTGAGCTATCTCTTAGCTATTCACACACATTGTATAAAAACTTTAAAGAGGCCGGGCGTTGGTGGTGCACGCCTTTAATCCCAGCACTGAGGCAGAGGCAGGCGGATCTCTGTGAGTTCGAGGCCAGCCTGGTCTACAGAGCGAGTTCCAGGACAGACTCCAAAGCCACAGAGAAACCCTGTCTCGAAAAACCAAAAAAAAAAAAAAAAAACTTTAAAGATGGGGCTGGAGAGATGGCTCAGAGGTTAAGAACACTGGCTGCTCTTCTAGAGCTCCTGAGTTCAATTCCCAGCAACCACACGGTGGCTCACAACCATCTGTAATGAGATCTGGTGCCCTCTTCTGGCCTGCAGGCAAAAAATTGAGTACTGTATACATATTAAATAAATAAAATCTTTAAAAAAAAAACTTTAAAGATGGCCAGGCGTTGGTGGTTCACACTTTTAATCCCAGCACTCGGGCTGGAGGGATGGCTCAGTGGTTAAGAGCACTGCTGCTCTTCCAGAGGACCCAGGTTCAATTCCCAGGACCCACATGGCAGCTCCAACTGTCTGTAACTCCAATTCCAGGGTGTCTGACACCCTTATACAAAGTATATACAAGTAAAACAACAGTATACATTAAACATTTTTAAAAAAATCCCAGCACACGGGAGGCAGAGGCAGGTGGATCTCTGAGTTCAAGATCAGCTTGGTCTACAGAGTGAGTTCCGGACAGCCTCCAAAGCCAAAGAGAAACCCTATCTCCAACCCTCCCTCCCCTACCCACCCACAAGAAAAAAAAAAAAGGCAAACTAATCTATCCCTCCCTTAGGTTTATCAAGTAGCTCTTCC